CTGGATACATCCCCTCAGATTTCTGGATACATCCCCTCAGATTTCTGGATACATCCCCTCATTTCTGGATACACATCCGCATTTCTGGATACATCCCCAGATTTCGGGAGACATCCCCTCAGATTTCTGGAGACATCCCCTCAGATTTCTGGAGACATCCCCTCAGATTTCTGGAGACATCCCCCTCAGATTTCTGGATACATCCCCTCAGATTTCTGGAGACATCCCCCTCAGATTTCTGGAGACATCCCCTCAGATTTCTGGATACATCCCCTCAGATTTCTGGAGACATCCCCTCAGATTTCTGGATACACACACCATGACATACACACTATATCCGGACTCACATATACCTGAGGACACACATACCTGAGGACACACATACCTGAGGACACACATATACTTGGGGACACACATATACCTGGGGACACACATATACCTGAGGACACACATATACCTGGGGACACACATATACCTGAGGACACACATATACCTGGGGACACACATATACCTGGGGACACACATATACCTGGGGACACACATATACCTGGGGACACACATATACCTGGGGACACACATATACCTGATGACACACGTCTAACGCTGGACTGAGTTACTCCATTGTCCAGTGCTATTCGTTTAAATTTTATTTCCAGCTTTAGAAAAAGTGTCGGTGTCCACGTTCACACAAATGTTTGGTGTGCTTTTCTTTCACTGGTGTAGACGGTATCGCCTGATAGTTCAAGCTATAGATTCACGTCTGCAGATCTTCCTCCTGCGCCCTAACACCCCCACCCCGTATCACTTTCAAATCTGGTAAACCCTTTCTAAATATAAACCTAGTCACCATTGGAAAAATATCAGTGAACGGCAGACGATAGATAACGTGTAGCCGTTTGTGGTCGCCTCCGTGACGTAATTAAAGGGACGCTTTACGGCTGTTCCTCATCAGCCGGCGGCAAGAAATTGGGAATATCCAATGCTGATCCGGCGATCGTTTGCCGCCGTTGAGGGTCGGATCAGACCAGGGTTGGCGCGTGCAGGGCCTGGGAACTACCCACAGTCCCGTCAAGTTTGGCAGACACACAGCAAATTACGATCTGATCATCGCGGGCTAATTTTAGACATGACGTAGTCCTATTCGTATTGGAGAAAAAATCTTAAAATAAATTTTACTAAATTTTTTTTTTATTGATTGGCTGTTTATTTTCCTAAGGTTTTTCAGTCCATATATGGGGTTGTATTAGTCATGCATTGGGTGCCTTTAATAAGCTGTTACTTAGAAATTTGTCGGAGAATAACTGCGAACTAATTCAAAAGTATGCTTGGTAACACTTTAATTGGACAAAAGCAGCTGATATCGATTGGGTTTTTAGAATGGTCTTTGTGAATGCAGTATTGATTTCTTCCCTTTACTGACATACTGGACCACCATTTTTTTTTTTCGGCTGAGTGGATGCTGGATGGAATGAAATTCCCCTCGATTAGCTGATGCCTAGTGTTGGCGGTGTGCGCGTCATGATAGAGCTGGAGCGCCGCCTAGTGTTGGCCGTCAGATTACAGCGCCTCGGGATTTTGCGAGACAAATAAGGACATCATATTTTTTTTTCGGCTTTTGTTTTTTGGTGCTTGACACAATGGCAGCTCCAACTTTATTTGTAGTTGTTTTTTTTTTAGTTATTTAAAAATTGTGTCTTTAGGGGTTTTACAATCACTTTTTTCAAAAGAAAACAAAAAAAAGACAAACTAGTGGAGAAGTGTTTCAGCTTAACACAAATCACGATCCCGCCTTATTAGGCCCCATTTAAAAGACATGTATATCTGGAATTATAAGGACTAGTCTTTCTTTCAGACTTTTTACTCCAAAAAAGGGAGGGGGTGGGGACGGACACTGGTTAAATTCATTCTATATAAATTCTTCCTGAAAAGATGCCTGAAAGAAACACTGATAAGATCACGTCTATGTAATGCATTTTCTCATCTTCCTGTTGAGTGTGTCCGTATCTTCCATTCATCCGTGACAGAAAAATATACGTTTGATTAACACTGATAATTAACCTAATTATTGTTCTAAACCCATGCCTTGACGTTGAAACCAACATTCGAGAATTTGTTGGGATAAAAGTTTTGTAGAAAAGTAAATCTGATCATACACCCCAGTGTTCTGTGGTCACTGTTTCATTATATCTAGATCTATGTGTTGGATACGAAAATAAAACGTAGACCTACACTCCAATGAGGTCACTGAGTTCATGTGTTAGCTTATTCAAAATAAATTCCCTCCAAGTAATCAGCTCAGTGTCGGGGGTGGATAAACTTCCACTTTGCGCAGCTAATTAACGCTAAATATTGCATCTATGCCCAGAATAATAATGAAAAGTCTTCAAATAGACAGTCCTTTATGTTGTTGCAACATAACTAGGCTACATAGAACTAATACTATAGAACCATTCTAAAATCTAAAAACAAATTGAGTTCATTCCCTTTCCCCCAGAGATGACGTAATACATCAGCATCATGCCCGCTCCAGACACGCTCATGGGCCACACAGTTTTTGCGTGTAAATCATTACATCATAAGAGACGAAAACACATCTAGTTCTGGGAGTTTAAGCTTGTAAGAGGGTATAGCTCAGTACTCAACATTTGAAACCTGTTGTTTTATTTTTTACTCACACCTAAGCGTTTAACATGACTCATTACAACAGCTGGCTTGCCAGTTAATACTCATTTGAAATATAACTTGCCAGAAAAAATGTTTGCATATGAAGTAGAAATCCACTTACATACCTTAACTATTAATTTCTTGTTAAAATGCAATGAACATTAAAATGAAAGAAAAAAGTGGTATTAACTTGGGGTTTGTAAGTGCAGTTTATTTAGGTGTAAATCTAGGTTCAGCTTTCAGTGATAAAAGGAAAATGTATTGTCAGAAATATTTCTCAGCCCATTTGTCATGTTTTAAGTATATTAGGTCATTCTGCCATGGCATATGTACATTAGGTCATTCTTTCATGGTATATGTACATTAGGTGATTCTGCCATGGTATATGTACATGAGGTCATTCTGCCATTGAATATGTACATTAGGTAGTTCTTTCATGGTATATGTACATTAGGTCATTCTGCCATGGTATAAGTACATTAGGTATTTCTTTCATGGTATATGTACATTAGGTCATTCTGCCATGGTTTAGGAATATTAGGTCATTCTGCCATGGTATATGTACATTAGGTAATTCTGCCATGGTTTAGGTATATTAGGTCATTCTGCCATGGTTTAGGTATATTAGGTCATTCTGCCATGGTTTATGTACATTAGGTCATTCTGTCATGGTATATGTACATTAGGTCATTCTGCCATGGTTTAGGTATATTAGGTCATTCTGCCATGGTATATGTACATCAGGTCGTTCTTTCATGGTATATGTACATTAGGTCATTCTGCCATGGTACATGTACATTAGGTCATTCTTCCATGGTATATGTACATTAGGTCTTTGAGGGGAGACACAGTTTTAAAGTTTACTATTTAAAGTTACACATAGGTACATTTTCATATCATAATCATAGTTTCCTCAAACTCATATTTAAAACTTTGCTATGACTATCCATCCCTGATATTATTTTGACTTAGCAAATTTGGTTTAATCAATCCCTGATTGATTAAACCTATAATTTGTTTACAACAACCTCAGCTCAATAATATACAGCATGTTGTATTAAAATGTTTTAGATACCAAGTCCAAGTTAACACTTAAACATTTTACCATAAGATTTATGGGTTGTGGCTTATTAATGAGATAAACTATGCAGATGATGATGACACATATTTTATGATAGTTCTATTTTTTGACTGCAGGTTAATGACAGTGAGAAATGTGTCTAATAGTTCAGTTTTTTTACTGCAGCTTAAAGACAATGAGAAATATGTCTAATAGTTCAGTTTTTTACTGCAGGTTAATGACATTGAGAACTGTGTCTAATAGTTCAATTTTTTTACTGCAGGTTAAAGACATTGAGAAATGTGTCTAATAGTTCAGTTTTTTACTGCAGGTTAATGACATTGAGAACTGTGTCTAATAGTTCAATTTTTTACTGCAGGTTAATGACAGTGACAAATGTGTCTAATAGTTCAGTTGACTGCAGGTTAAAGACATTGAGAAATGTGTCTAATAGTTCAATTTTTTACTGCAGGTTAATGACATTGAGAACTGTGTCTAATAGTTCAATTTTTTACTGCAGGTTAATGACAGTGACAAATGTGTCTAATAGTTCAGTTGACTGCAGGTTAAAGACATTGAGAAATGTGTCTAATAGTTCAATTTTTTACTGCAGGTTAATGACATTGAGAACTGTGTCTAATAGTTCAATTTTTTACTGCAGGTTAATGACAGTGACAAATGTGTCTAATAGTTCAGTTGACTGCAGGTTAAAGACAGTGAGAAATATGTCTAATAGTTCAGTTGACTGCAGGTTAAAGACATTGAGAAATGTGTCTAATAGTTCAATTTTTTACTGCAGGTTAATGACAGTGACAAATGTGTCTAATAGTTCAGTTGACTGCAGGTTAAAGACAGTGAGAAATATGTCTAATAGTTCAGTTTTTGACTGCAGGTTAAAGACAGTGAGAAATATGTCTAATAGTTCAGTTTTTGACTGCAGGTTAATGACAGTGACAAATGTGTCTAATAGTTCAGTTGACTGCAGGTTAAAGACAGTGAGAAATATGTCTAATAGTTCAGTTTTTGACTGCAGGTTAAAGACAGTGAGAAATATGTCTAATAGTTCAGTTTTTGACTGCAGGTTAAAGACAGTGAGAAATATGTCTAATAGTTCAGTTTTTGACTGCAGGTTAAAGACAGTGAGAAATATGTCTAATAGTTCAGTTTTTTGACTGCAGGTTAATGACAGTGAGAACTGTGTCTAATAGTTCAGTTTTTTGACTGCAGGTTAATGACAGTGAGAACTGTGTCTAATAGTTCAGTTTTTTGACTGCAGGTTGGCGACAGAGTCATGGCCTTCTCAGACTACAAAGCCTGGTCTGAACTGGTGGCTGTGTCCACAAATTACGTCTACAAGATTGGAGACAACATGAACTTTCATGACGCTGCTGCCCTGCTGATGAACTACGTGGTCGCCTACAGCCTGCTGTTTGATCTGGCGGGGGTCAGGGAGGGGCAGTCAGTGCTGGCACATTCCCTGGGGGGTGGAGTTGTAAGTTTTTTATGTGCTGTGTTTATAACATTGTCAGTGGCAGTGGGGAATTTGTGGGAGGGGGTGACTGACAGAGCTTGTGGGAGGGGGTGACTGACAGAGCTTGTGGGAGGGGGTGACTGACAGAGCTTGTGGGAGGGGGGGGGGGTCTGGCAGGGGTAGTGGGAGGGGGGGGTCTGGCAGGGGTAGGGGGGGTGACTGACAGGGGTAGAGGGCAGAGGCGTAGCTAGGGGGGGGCGGGGGGGGCGGCCGCCCCGGGCGCCGACCCTATGGGGGCGCCAAAAGGGGTGGGAAAAATTTTTTAAAGCTGATTTTATGCTGCAGTTTTGAATTATAAACTGTCTAAGTTAAGAAATATAATGGCTACACGCATTTACATACTGATTTAACTGTTTTCTATCTTGATTTCTTAATGTAAAACATATACTCTTAAGAAACAGTGACCGGCAAAACCGCTTTGAAGCTTTTCCTAGATGGGGGGGGGGGGGCGCTTTTTCGAGACTTAAAACGGAAGAATTTACACTAGATTGTTGAGTCGATAAACGTTACCACTATTAAAAGAAACCAATTGTATTAAAACGTATTGTACGATTGTTGAACTGTAAAATACGTTAGTGACTTTTATCAAGATGGTGCAGGGGGGCGCTTTTAGGCTAAATAAAATAGCAAAATTACACAGGATTCTGAGTAAACAACCTTTAGCTCTCAGAAAGAAACGAATTGTACTGTGCATTGTATAATTGTGTAACATTTTTTAAAAAAAAGTTAGTTACGTTAAAAACCGCTCTACAAACTTTGTCCAAGATGGTTGTGATGAGTGTGTGTGGGGGTGGGGGGGGGGGCGCTTTTTTCGCTAACAAAAATCGCAAGTATTTGTACTGGATTGGTGAGTAGATAACTCTCTTAACACTTAGTAAAGAAACCAAGTGTATTAACGCGTAATGTACAATTTCAATAGCCAGTTTTGTTAAAAAAAAAGACGCGACTAGTTCTTTGTAAGATTCTTACGATTCTCTCAACTTCAACGTGAGAGATCAGATACTTTTGATCAGTGTTTCTTCCAGACTTTTTTCTCCGGGGGGGCACTTGAAATCTTCGGGGGGAGGGGGGAGGCGGTAAACTTTCTTCGGGGGGGGGGGGGCGGACACTGTTAAAAGTATATATTTTCTATATATAAATTATATAAATTTCATTTCGTTCGGGGGGGGGGGGGGGGCGTAAAAATTTTTCCGGGGGGCTTCGCCCCCCCGAAAAGATGCCTGGAAGAAACTGTTTGCGAGAAGGCAGGGCAAATCTGCGAAATCCAAGACTACGAGCTGTTAACATCTGTTGGATTCCAGTTTGTTTTCTCTAGCTTGTTTTGTCATACCATCAACCAATCAACGAAATACCCATGTCGTATTCCAATGTGAACAATAAATATTTCTGATAACTTCTTCTTGTATGTCACTTGTGTGTCCTTACTCTAACAAACTTCGAATCCAATATGTACCATATCACAACAGAGATCGTTCAAAACTAGAACATAAAAGGCTGGTCTAAACATATTAGCGTTAGCTACAAACTACCCTCTAACACAGATCAGGCTTATTTTTTTTTACTGACATTACTAATCTTTCGCAAAAAAAGTTAAACGCATCTTAATGGGAATTAAATTGTCGTAAAGTTTTAAGGAATGAAAATCATACAATGTAATTATTAAACCTTGTCCGGACTGTAGCATACACGCTTACACACACGCTTACACACACAAATACACTCTTACCCACACACAAGCTTATATATAAACACACTATCACACACACATAATTATACACACACACACACACACACACATATATATATATATATATATATATATATATATAAGCGGGGGGGGGGGGCGCCAAATTGAAAGTTCGCCCCGGGCGCCGGGAAGGGTCGCTACGCCTCTGGTAGAGGGGGGTGACTGATAGGGGTAGAGGGTGGTGGGGTGGGTGACTGACAGGGGTAGAGGGGGTGGGGTGGGTGACAGGGGTAGAGAGTGTGGGGTGGGTGACTGACAGGGGTAGAGGGGGGATCCTGACACTGATAGGGGTAGAGGGGGGTGACTGACAGGGGTAGAGAGTGTGGGGTGGGTGACTGACAGGGGTAGAGGGGGGATCCTGACACTGATATTTCTACAATTGTTGGACATCCTCTCCCCTCACTCCTCTCCCACCTCCATTACCCACCCTTTCAACAAAATACCCTACAGGCACATAGGTCAGGGGTCGGCAACCTGCGGCTCGCGAGCCGCATGCGGCTCTTTTGATATCAAGATGCGGCTCTCCAGCTCCTTGCACAAATACTAATAATCTTAATAAAAGTATAAAATATTTGAAATAAAAAAAATGTTAGTGGCTCTTTAAAACCAGGGAAATTTTGAAAATTGTAACTTTTGGCTCTTCCGCTTCAAAAGGTTGCCGACCCCTGACATAGGTTGTTGATTTGAGCTTTCGAATTTTACCATGGAGTAATTTTATTTTATTACTTGTGATGATGTCAAATCATTTGACTGATTAAAATTGTGTTAAAAAAAAATTTTTTTCATGGAACATGATAAAACCGTATTATTTCTTTTAGTAAATATTATTAGTAAACAGTAGTTCAATTTTTTAAGCTCATCTTCTACATGATTTAAGCTTTGTTATTTTTAAAAAGCAGTTTCAAAATTAATTCTACCTAAATGTGCAGGGTCATGCCATAGTTCAGCTAGCCAACACTGTCCCAAATGTCACAATTTTTGCAGGGTCATGCCATAATTCAGCTAGCCAACACTGTCCCAAATGTCACAATTTTTGCAGGGTCATGCCATAGTTCAGCTAGCCAACACTGTCCCAAATGTCACAATTTTTCAGGGTCATGCCATAGTTCAGCTAGCCAACACTGTCCCAAATGTCACAATTTTTGCAGGGTCATGCCATAGTTCAGCTAGCCAACACTGTCCCAAATGTCACAATTTTTGCAGGGTCATGCCATAGTTCAGCTAGCCAACACTGTCCCAAATGTCACAATTTTTGCAGGGTCATGCCATAGTTCAGCTAGCCAACACTGTCCCAAATGTCACAATTTTTGCAGGGTCATGCCATAGTTCAGCTAGCCAACACTGTCCCAAATGTCACAATTTTTGCAGGGTCATGCCATAGTTCAGCTAGCCAACACTGTCCCAAATGTCACAATTTTTGCAGGGTCATGCCATAGTTCAGCTTGCCAACACTGTCCCAAATGTCACAATTTTTGCAGGGTCATGCCATAGTTCAGCTAGCCAACACTGTCCCAAATGTCACAATTTTTGCAGGGTCATGCCATAGTTCAGCTAGCCAACACTGTCCCAAATGTCACAATTTTTGCAGGGTCATGCCATAGTTCAGCTAGCCAACACGGTCCCAAATGTCACAATTTTTGCAGGGTCATGCCATAGTTCAGCTAGCCAACACTGTCCCAAATGTCACAATTTTTGCAGGGTCATGCCATAGTTCAGCTAGCCAACACGGTCCCAAATGTCACAATTTTTGCAGGGTCATGCCATAGTTCAGCTAGCCAACACTGTCCCAAATGTCGCAATTTTTGCAGGGTCATGCCATAGTTCAGCTAGCCAACACTGTCCCAAATGTCACAATTTTTGCAGGGTCATGCCATAGTTCAGCTAGCCAACACTGTCCCAAATGTCACAATTTTTCAGGGTCATGCCATAGTTCAGCTAGACAACACTGTCCCAAATGTCACAATTTTTGCAGGGTCATGCCATAGTTCAGCTAGCCAACACTGTCCCAAATGTCACAATTTTTGCAGGGTCATGCCATAGTTCAGCTAGCCAACACTGTCCCAAATGTCACAATTTTTGCAGGGTCATGCCATAGTTCAGCTAGCCAACACTGTCCCAAATGTCACAATTTTTGCAGGGTCATGCCATAGTTCAGCTAGCCAACACTGTCCCAAATGTCACAATTTTTGCAGGGTCATGCCATAGTTCAGCTAGCCAACACTGTCCCAAATGTCACAATTTTTGCAGGGTCATGCCATAGTTCAGCTTGCCAACACTGTCCCAAATGTCACAATTTTTGCAGGGTCATGCCATAGTTCAGCTAGCCAACACTGTCCCAAATGTCACAATTTTTGCAGGGTCATGCCATAGTTCAGCTAGCCAACACTGTCCCAAATGTCACAATTTTTGCAGGGTCATGCCATAGTTCAGCTAGCCAACACGGTCCCAAATGTCACAATTTTTGCAGGGTCATGCCATAGTTCAGCTAGCCAACACTGTCCCAAATGTCACAATTTTTGCAGGGTCATGCCATAGTTCAGCTAGCCAACACGGTCCCAAATGTCACAATTTTTGCAGGGTCATGCCATAGTTCAGCTAGCCAACACTGTCCCAAATGTCACAATTTTTGCAGGGTCATGCCATAGTTCAGCTAGCCAACACTGTCCCAAATGTCACAATTTTTGCAGGGTCATGCCATAGTTCAGCTAGCCAACACTGTCCCAAATGTCACAATTTTTGCAGGGTCATGCCATAGTTCAGCTAGCCAACACTGTCCCAAATGTCACAATTTTTGCAGGGTCATGCCATAGTTCAGCTAGCCAACACGGTCCCAAATGTCACAATTTTTGCAGGGTCATGCCATAGTTCAGCTAGCCAACACGGTCCCAAATGTCACAATTTTTGCAGGGTCATGCCATAATTCAGCTAGCCAACACTGTCCCAAATGTCACAATTTTTGCAGGGTCATGCCATAGTTCAGCTAGCCAACACTGTCCCAAATGTCACAATTTTTGCAGGGTCATGCCATAGTTCAGCTAGCCAACACGGTCCCAAATGTCACAATTTTTGCAGGGTCATGCCATAGTTCAGCTAGCCAACACGGTCCCAAATGTCACAATTTTTGCAGGGTCATGCCATAGTTCAGCTAGCCAACACTGTCCCAAATGTCACAATTTTTGCAGGGTCATGCCATAGTTCAGCTAGCCAACACTGTCCCAAATGTCACAATTTTTGCAGGGTCATGCCATAGTTCAGCTAGCCAACACTGTCCCAAATGTCACAATTTTTGCAGGGTCATGCCATAGTTCAGCTAGCCAACACTGTCCCAAATGTCACAATTTTTGCAGGGTCATGCCATAGTTCAGCTAGCCAACACTGTCCCAAATGTCACAATTTTTGCAGGGTCATGCCATAGTTCAGCTAGCCAACACTGTCCCAAATGTCACAATTTTTGCAGGGTCATGCCATAGTTCAGCTAGCCAACACTGTCCCAAATGTCACAATTTTTGCAGGGTCATGCAATAGTTCAGCTAGCCAACACTGTCCCAAATGTCACAATTTTTGCAGGGTCATGCCATAGTTCAGCTAGCCAAACTGTCCCAAATGTCACAATTTTTGCAGGGTCATGCCATAGTTCAGCTAGCCAACACTGTCCCAAATGTCACAATTTTTGCAGGGTCATGCCATAGTTCAGCTAGCCAACACGGTCCCAAATGTCACAATTTTTGCAGGGTCATGCCATAGTTCAGCTAGCCAACACGGTCCCAAATGTCACAATTTTTGCAGGGTCATGCCATAGTTCAGCTAGCCAACACTGTCCCAAATGTCACAATTTTTGCAGGGTCATGCCATAGTTCAGCTAGCCAACACGGTCCCAAATGTCACAATTTTTGCAGGGTCATGCCATAGTTCAGCTAGCCAACACTGTCCCAAATGTCACAATTTTTGCAGGGTCATGCCATAGTTCAGCTAGCCAACACTGTCCCAAATGTCACAATTTTTGCAGGGTCATGCCATAGTTCAGCTAGCCAACACTGTCCCAAATGTCACCATCTTCGGCACAGCGTCATCCCACAAGCATGAGGCCATTAAGTCTAACGGCAATGTTGCTCATCTTTTTGATCACAACGCTGACTACACTCAGGCTATCAGAAAGTGAGTAGGTCTAGTTGTAACATTTATTTGTGACTAAACAATTTGAGGCTGGAGGCTCCAGAAAGTTGATGGGGGCTCCGGAAAATTGATGGGGGCTCCGGAAAATTGATGGGGGCTCCGGAAAATTGATGGGGGCTCCAGAAAGTTGATGGGGGCTCCGGAAAATTGATGGGGGCTCCAGAAAGTTGATGGGGGCTCCGGAAAATTGATGGGGGCTCCAGAAAGTTGATGGGGGCTCCGGAAAATTGATGGGGGCTCCAGAAAGTTGATGGGGCTCCGGAAAATTGATGGGGGCTCCAGAAAATTGATGGGGCCTCCAGAAAGGATGAGGGCTCGAGGAATTTGAAGGGGGCTCTAGACGTTTTTTTTGGGGCCCAGACGTTTGATGGGGGCCCAGACGTTTTGTGGGGGCCCAGACGTTTTGTGGGGGCCCAGACGTTTGATGGGGGCCCAGACATTTGATGGGGGCATAGATATTTGACAGAGGCTCCTGCAGTTTGGTTACTTTGAGTGAATTTGGGTCTCCTTTTATTTTTCAATCTTTTTAAAATGAATATATTAACCTTATACAACGGTAACTAATAACAGTTGATTAATGATAATTTATAACAATGTACTATTTCAAGAATTCTCTTTTAGAAGTACATCTGTTTTCTGACTGGACTATATCTAATGCTATGGATCTGTACTTCCTTCTATTGGCCCACATGCAATGCTATAGAAATGTAGTACTGTTGGGCCACATGCAATGCTATAGAAATGTAGTACTGTTGGGCCACATGGAATGCTATAGAAATGTAGTACTATTAGACTATATCTAATGCTATAGAAATATAGTACTATTGGGCCACATGAAATTCTATAGAAATATAGTACTATTAGACTATCTAATTCTATTGAAATGTACTTCCCTCTAATTGGAGGCCTTCTTGTCATTACTAATGTCATTAAATTTATTTGAATCCCTGCAGAGAATCCTCAGATGGTGTTGACATAGTGTTGGATTGTCTCTGTGGAGATGATACAAACAAAGGCATTGCATTGTTAAAACCCATGGGAAAATATATTCTCTTTGGTAAAAGTTTAAATTTATTTTATGATTGGTTCGTTTTTTACACACAGTGCTTATTTTTAATTATATTTAGATGTTATAATATATTAGATTAGCTAGAAACAATTACTTTGAACATATTTGTCTCCTACATACAAAAGATTCAAGAGAGTTGAAATAATAGCTGATGCTGCCTAATCATGTGGTTTTGTTTATTGATCAGCCAAAGAAAAAAGCAGGATTTTTATTCCTTATTTCTTTTGTTTCATTTTTTAATCTATTGATGGTTCTTGAAATTTAAAACAATTATTTAAAAAAGAATTGAAAAACAAGAAGTGTTCTTAAAATGTATTGAATTTTTAGAAATCCTTAGTCAGCTTATTTTTATTTTTTTTAATTTGCAGTTCATAAAAGTTACATGCATTCCCATCCTCAAAAATGTTGTATTCACTATTTTTGATAAATAAAATACTAGCTTAACACAAATAGTTTTAGTAGTAGATTTCTTTGGTAAAGTCACATCTATATGACTGTTGTTGCAACTTATTCTCAGCAATCTTTCAACTCATTAACTCTTGATTCATTTTAATCCATCTCAAATGTTTGAACTTTGATTAATCAACATTTATTTTTATACATCTAAGAACGCCGAAATGTAAATGTTATTCAATTTCTACGGTTGTTTTAAATTTTCTTTATCTAAAGTTTTTACCAGTGTATTTTTCAATTTATATTAAGCATTAATAATTTTGGCTAACAACAGCTGGTAGCTTTTAGCATTTGCATTATTTCCACCTAAAGCATTTTTAAAGAACTGCTTTAGTAAGGTACTATCAAATTAGGAAAGCTGTGTTAAGTTTTAGATCAAAGTTTGTGAGAAATTCAAGACCTCCTTGATCTTTTATATTTTGAACAATTCAGCATTTAATTATGTTTTTGTTGGCACGATAGAGCACTGTTGTTTTGGTTGGTATGATAGAGCACATGATTACATAGGGATAGAGTTGGGATCCAATGAACAATGGTCTTGTCTGTAGCTTGTTGACAGCCTCATGGTACACTTGCAACATGTATTGCTAGGGAAAAAATGCAACATGTTAATGTTAAATGAAAACATTTTCCACACAGAGCATGTATACTTGTTTGTGCTTTTTTTTTTCTAGACATGTATACTAGTATACATGTTGCAATTTTAAATGTGATGTTACAGACTAACATTTAGTGGTCTGAAAGTAATCATTATGTAAACAATCATTCAATTTGGCTGGCCACAGAAAGTTTAGCTCTGTGCCTAACCACAAAGTTTAGCTGCTCTGTGCCTGACCACAAAGTTTAGCTCTGTGCCTGACCACAAAGTTTAGCTCTGTGCCTGACCACAAAGTTTAGCTCTGTGCCTGACAACAGAAAGTTTAGTTCTGTACCTGAATACTATTGAACCTAAATATTTTTCTTCTACAGGGTCCTCAAATATCGTGACAGGAGAAACTAAAAGCATAATCAGCTTTGCCAAATCTGTAAGTTTTATATGGTCTCATTTTTATAGTAGTCCATATATGCATCAAGTTATTAAAAATAGTGAATAAACTATGAATTGACAGCTGTTAAGCAGTAATTACTCTAACACGAGACATCTTAATATGCAACTAAACAAAAGCCCATTAGTATTTTAACATTAAAATTGCTTGCATAAAGGTTGTGATGTTTTCTTGTGTACATGTTTTGCTTTAGTCATTTCTATGCCAGCCATAATTCTCCATAATTTCCAATGGAGTTTTTCAGATTACATTCTGGCTTAAGTTTTGTGGATGTTTTGCAAAAGTGTCCTGAAATTTTGTTTTTGAAAAGTGCTGGTGCTCCATTTTAATTGTTTAAATGTTTTTTTGCTTTATTATACAAATATCTTTGAACTATTAAATTTGTTAACCTAATCCATTTTTTTAATTTAAAGAACTTAATACTTCAATAGAATATTTCTTTGAGCTCTGGTCACGTTTTAAAGTGTTATTTCCATGTAGAACTGTTTAGTTCATGTGATCATGTCTTGAACATGTAAAGCGTTCACATTGGGTAGATATAGATGTAATCATACAAATTTTAATGGTATGCAAGATGTTTGAAAAAGATTGATTTATTCAACTGAGAAATTTAACTCAACTTTATAACTGAAAGCATGATGGGCTTTGAGACTTTTCATTGGTGTTGGAGTAAATTTCTTCAAAATTTAAAAAATTCACTGCAGGATTAAAACAGGTGCATGTTTTTAACACATTAATAACAACTAACCTCTTCCATTCTGCATTTTTTACTCAATCTCTCCTCTCTTCTGTCTTTTTTTTTTATCCATGAAGCATATTCTGACGCATGTAAGACAAATATTGTGGACTTTATGACATGTGATTTGTTGTTTAGGAAAGGATGTGATTAATTTTGCCTCCATTATGTTAGAGTTAAAAATATTGAAATATATGTTCTATGTTAGGCAAATAAGTATTTTGCTTATATACACTGGAAAAAAATGCATATTCTTAAACCCTTTAAAATTAGAGTATTTAAACAAAATAAAATCCATCCCTTTCCTATATGTGTACAATGTTATCTGTTAGGCTCTTAGTACATAAAATATAGGTAGATTTCTTACAGAATAGATCTAGTGTTAATTTTTATAAAATTTAATTGACAAAAAACATTTAAATTAAAGTAACATTTTTGACATTGATCTTTTTTGTGAATGCCTTCAAAGTAAAACTTGAATGGACACACTATTTAAAATCTTAAAGGACGGTAAAGATATAAATATTTTATCTTTTGTTTTTCAACTCAGACCAAAAAATATTTACAATTTTAAAATATGTGTAACTGACAGTAGTTAATTAGGTGCTGTAGATTGACAACTTCATTAAAAATTTTAACATATTCCAATTTAGAATGATTTATGAATTACAATAGCCTATATCCCTGTAACCTCAGTGATTCTAAAACAGAGAGACATTGTCACCAATTTCTAGTAAATTCTGGTTTCCACACAGTTTGAAAACAATAAAATGTGTGAAATCATGTATTGAACATAATTTACTTAAGAAGACTTAGTTAGCAAGTTAAATAAATTATATACAAAGATTTAAACAATTTTAAAAGTTAGAGTAAATTGGTTTGAATTTTTTCAAAGTTATTAAAAACTTGTGGCACATTGTCATTGGTGAACTCAGTGTTTGCACATTCAAGACCTGTTGAGTTATTAAAAAAAGAATCAAGTTCAAATTATTTCTAATGTTGTAAACATGTAATTGATTAGAAATATAATTTTTCCTGTAAAGTATTACTCTGTCTGTTATTAATTTATTAATCAAATGCTTTTTTCGTTACTCTCAACCAGAATATTTAAATGGTTTAATAGATTTTTTTCTAGTTGATTATTGTTATATATAAAAAGAAAAAATATATATATATATAAAGTAACATTTCAAAATAGAGCTTAGGCAAGGAGTTAGAAAGTAACCCTTGTTGATAAAGAGTTTCCTTTTTCAAGCAGCTAAAGGCAGTTGATATAAAGTAACTTTAATAGAGGGTTTTAATGTTCCTTTCTAAAAGCTACAACTTCCTGACAAAGTGGTGGTAAGTATTTTACAATAGAAGAGGGGGTTGTGTTCAACTGTAGGTGTTCCCCTTTTTTTATTTTAAATATTGTGTTTTCAATTTGATTTTTATAGCTGAATATGAAATAACAGAAGCTAGTAATGAAATTGTTGTACTTGCACCTTAGCTCCATTTTTAAAAATTCAACAACAAAAAACTAAATTTCCTTAAGATTTCTAGTCAATTTGGAAAATAAAATTGTATAATTTATCTCCTAATTTGTGAAAGTACTATCAAAATAACAGTTTATGTTTTTCTAAAATCTTTCATTCCTCTTTTGTTCATAGCAATTATTATAGGCTTTGATCACTGTTGCCTTTCAAGATTTAGTTTAGCAATTTAATAAATGTTGCTTGTTTCAGTAACTGCTGAAAATTTGTTGCTATGAAGTTTTTATATTGGCAAGCTGCCTACATGTGTCTTAACTGTCAACTAAAATGTTTATTCTACAGAAATAAATACTCTAATTTGACAGGAAATGGTTAAAGGATTTTTTTTTAAATTGTTTTGTTTTACTTATTTTTAATCATTACATTTGTGTTTAGCTTTACCAATATTTATTTGATTCCTCGAGACAAAACTTTAGTTGACAAAATGAGAAATAAAACAGTTTTGTTGGCTGGTCTACATTGTAGACTCTATAAAGGTACTCTTTATTAGATGAAAGAATTACCTCACAATAGGTATGACAGTATGAGTATTTAAATTAGATTGTCAGATGAGGTTGGTCTATTTTAAAAATTATTATAATTCATCTCCCAGAACCTAAAAGACAGCAGTTAATTATCGATGCATATTTTTAACTTCATTACGTAATTCTCATTTAGAATGATTTATGAATTACATAACAATAGCCATTTTACTGTAAAGCATGTTTTTTTTTAAAAATATGAAATTCTTGTAATTTTTTTTATCAAACTAATTTTTCTTGTTGAATGTTTATTAGAATATATATGCTAGATATATTTTTAAAATAAACAAAATTAAGATGCATGATACAATTATTTGGGGGGGAAAAACAAATTTAAAAAGTAAAGTTGGTTTGATTTGATATACTTTTTATATTTAAAAAACTAAAGTAGGTAAATCCACATATATAATTTATACTGGAAAAATAAATTATCATATTTAGTTCATAAAATATTTTAAAATTTCCTTTTGATTTTTATAGATATTTAGTGGTTTTGAAAGTAGTATGTTTGGAGTGGTGTAGGGTTAGATAGATCTGTATAGTATATTGATAAATAAAACCAAAGAAATGGCTATTTCGGGATGCATTTTCATGCATATTCAAGACAATGCAGTTCACCCTTTCTTTTACCCAACAACTTAATTCTTCAATAGTGTAAAGTGAACATATTTATTTCTAGCCTATATAGGCCCACAATGAAAATTCAATAGGTGTCCATATAGCAGATACAACTTTTTAAAAATTGCCTGCATCTGCATTTAAATTCATACATTGTAGTTTATAAAGTTTTAATTTGTGTTGTCATATCCTTGTAATAAAATTAGTAATAGATACATATATATATATTTTTTAAAACCAGGCTAATAACCATAATGTGTTTACAAAAATGAAAACTGTAACCTTTCTGATTTCAGTATTGTTAGCTTGTTTTTACACAATATATTCTTGCGTTTTTAAAGCAAGTTTTGCTTTGAAAATACAACTTATTGTCTAAAATTACTATGGCCAAATCAGTTATTTTTAAATCAACACTATCAATAGAATGTACTTGTTTTATTTTTAAAAAGGTGATCAAGCAGCTAAGTATTTTTTAACTATCTTAATCTTCAGGTTTTTTTTTTTTAAAAAGAAATGAAATAAGTAGATTAATCCAATCATTTTTTTTTATCTATCAGTGGTGGCAAGTTGACAAGGTGAACCCCTTAAAACTTTATGATGATAACAAAGTCATTGGTGGCTTCCAGTTGCGACGCCTGCTCTTCCGACAGGGTCATCATGAGTATGTGCGTTCTGTAGTGACGCGTGTGCTTGATCTATACAATCAAGGCAAGCTGAAACTGACCATTGACTCAGTGTGGGCTTTTGAAGATGTAAGTTCAAATATTAAAGATTCGGATCTTGTTTTTTTTTTAAAGGTAATAAAACATGCATTATGTAGGTCTGTTTGATTCTACTGTATTAAATGTCATTTTAAATAAAGCTTAAAGATCAAGATATAAACTCTACGAATCTAGATGTCCTCATTGAAGTTTTGCATTCAACATGCCAGTAAAAAAATTCTATGTATTGGAGCTCTAAATTTCTTTGCTAATTTTATATTTGTTGTACATTCATTGCTAGGTGGGTGAAGCAATGCAAAAGTTGTGTGACCGTAAAAATGTTGGAAAAATTATTTTGGATCCAACCGCAGAGCCTACACCCAAGGTAAATAATTTTAAAAGGGCTTTGTAAAGGAAAATTTTTGTTATCATATTTATTATGTAGGACTTGATAGGAAAACTGCAGGTTAATAATAGAAGATTATGTATTATCTAAATTATAATTACAATAATAAAAAAACATATTTTTTTTATAGTTGTTTCTTTTACAAACAAAAACTTCTTAGGCAATTGTTTAAATGAAAATTTAAAATCTTAAACTTTTGTCTTAGTCTCCAGAGAAGAAGGCAGCAGAAGCAGCAGAAAGTGCCTCTGCTGGGGAAGAGAAGAAGGAAGCTGTTGCAAATGGGGAGTGATTTCAACTGTAGAAATTTTATTGTAAGTTTGGTCCCCTTGGCAATTTTATTGAAAGTTTACTATACTCCCTTCAAAAATTTTATTGTATGTTTGCTCCCTTTAAGCTAAAAAAAATGGCTGATGCTAAAATAACATTGATGGCTGCTGGTTTTCCTGTCAAATATATAGAATTGATAGCTTTATTTAAAAAAGAATCAGACTCCCAGTTTACCAGCTGTTTCTAATCTTGGGAGGGAGGGGGGGGGGGCTAACCACATAAACATTGCAGCATATGGTGATGATCTATAAGAAAAAGCATAACATCTTTTTATTGCTTTTGAGGTGTATGGTTTTTACTTTTCATGAATGTGGAATTTTTATGTATAATTTAAATATTTCTTTTAAGCCTTCTTAAAATATATAATGGAAAATATTTTATGTTTTATTTTTCTACCATATTGAAAGTTTTTTTTTTCTGTCTATAACAGAATCGATGATTAGTTCACTTAACAAATTTAACAGCAAGTTTGATCTTCAGAACTATAGAACAAAAAAGATGCATTGTGGAAAGGATCAGGATTATAATGTTTTTAAATACTATTTTTTTTTATAGTTAAGTAAATTTAATTATTTAAACTATGTATAGGGAGAAGTATATTGCCAAAACTTACCATGTTTTTGTAACTATAGATCTAAAGCAAGTTTGTGTACATCCAATAAGTATATAGATTTTAACTGTACATTTTTCTTAATTTTTAATAGTTATGTAAAAAATAGGAAAATATCTTATTAAATTTGAAAATAATTACACCTTTAGAAAAAATTGGAATACTGCACAATTTCCGGTCTAATCATAAAAAAATTTTCTTTAATATTGAGGGCACAGTTTGTTTGCTAATGGTTTTATATATATCTCCTGCTTATTTTTAAATCAATTTGTTGTCTGGTGTTGTGCCCTGTTTATTTGCTGTGATCATTCAGACTGACCGTTGCTGTTGGTTTTGTCATATTTATTGTGATATTGATACAAATATTAAAGATATATGTTGTGTGATCTGTATATTATATTTTTGGAATGGAATTTATTAAACAATTTTTCTCCCCCTCCCAAGAAATATATTAAATCAAGAGTTAAAAAATGGGGATAACTCTAAAAATTGTTTTATTACTTGCAGTCATCAGTTTGATTTATTTGGAAAACTTTGTTCAGTATTTTATCATAAGTTGAATATTATTCTGTTTAGTATATTTAAAAAATATATATTCATGTATTTTGTATTAATTTGCATGAGAATATAAACCTATTTACTGTATCAATACATTTCACTGTAATGTAATGCTAAAAGTGCTATACTAATCATTTTTTATATTGCAATAACCAGGGGATGGTGCTTGCTGGTTTGATTCTGTTTAGCTTTTTTCCACACATTTTTTTTTATCTTTAAGATTAATACATTATATATGCATTAGCTACATTGTTTGATCTTAATGCTGAAATCAAACTAGGAACTACATTCTCCACAATTATTTAAGATACTTTACTTTTGTTAATTTTTCTGTGTATATTAACTATGGGAGTTTAATTTTCTTTTGAAAATGCTTGATTTATTTCATTAAGTGGCTCCAAGTAAAGATGTGTTTGTTGTTTAGTAACTTGCATAGCGTACACAAGCACCTGTTGTGTTGAGCCATGAGTTCTCTGTGTACTTCCTTCACAGTCTGCACTTTTCCTAGTCTTGGTGCCCACTTTTGTTTTAAAGCTTTACTAGCATTCACTGATGTCTTTGTGCTAGCCAGAGGCGTAGGTGTACCTTTTGGTGGTAATGTTGGATCAACCGGTATTTCAATAATAAAACAATACAACACTTTTCTATTTATTCCTTGTAATAGTTGCATTTTGAAATGATGAACTGGATTTTTTTCTTATTTTTGAAACTGTTTTTAAATTTCAACTTGCATTCACTTCCGTCTGAGAGTTCCTGGAATGCAAATTATTCCAATTTTTCATTTTTGATGCTAATCAGTTCTAAACATTAGAAAAATGTAATGTGTTTAATATTTTAATTGCCACTGACCAGTTTTAGAATCATTTTAATATGTGGAAACAATTAAACATAGGTTATTTTTTACAGGATTGAAATTGTTTTCAAAATTTAGTCATGTTTACTAAAGTAATTTTTTTTATTTTTAAATAAAAAAGTTCTTTGTATTTTTCTGAAGAAAAAAAACTTGCTGTAAAAATATTTATTCCAAAAAATCAAGTCAACATCTAATGTTGTAAATGTACTGTGTAAGTGTTACAGGACAACTTGATTCAATTAACTTTCCAGCTGTTCTTCTTTCAACCTTGAATGCTCTGGTGCATACCCAAACAGCTTGAGGTTCTTTCATTTCTAATCATGTTGATAGCCCCCAGCTGTTGATGGAAGTCTCAAAGCAATAAGTCATTACTACCCTGAGAAAGTGCTTAGTATTTAATCTTTGTTAAAACTAGCATTCCTGTTCACTTAAACAAAATCAACATCTTGAACCACCGCCAACATTCCTGTGAGAAATGTAAAATATCTACATTGTATATTTCTATGTGAATTTGTACTGGCTTTTTCAATACTTTTTTATGAACAAAATGAAATACTTTAACCCTTCTTAGCTCACTTAAAAATTTGGCCAGAACTAATGCAATATTTTGATTATATTCAAATAAGCTGTTATATAAATATATATATTTATACTTTGACTAGCACTTAGGAATATCATTGGTAGGCCTATACAGATTGTTTATATTTATTTTTATGAATAAATCAACTTATTCTACACATTTATCTTTTACATTAGGCTATGTTTAAACCAAACTATTAAACAGATATTTAAAAAAAAGCAGATATAAACTTTAAAGCTGATATAAACTTTAAAGCTGATATAATTGTATTGCTACCATATTGTAAGAAATGTATGAAGGAAGGTTAGAGAGCACTTGTGATGTTTGCCTAGCTATATAACACCATCAGTCTGCCTTCTGCTCTGTAGTATTGTGTAGATGTTCATGGTGTCTGTAGAATGCTCAGCATAGTTAGTGCAATAAATGTTATTGTTTAACCCCTTTGAGACTTGGTATTTTTTACTTAGTATGAAATTAATATGAAACCACATTTACTAAGTGGTTTTCTGAAGACAACTAAAACCCAATTTGAATACTTAGTAGAATAATTGAAAAATATTTTAAAAATCTGTAAACATCAAGGTTTTATTTTTTTTAATGCAAAGTTTGAATACATAAACAGTGTTACAAAACAGCAGTAATATAAAATGTACTTGTTTACTTAAGTACTTCAATACTGGGAGCAGTTAGATGGTGAAGAATTAGGTATATAACATTAAAAATCTGACAGTATCAAATTCTTGCTGGTTAAGTAATTAGAGCCCAATGGTGTAGGATCTGCCCTTTGGATTGTGTATTGGTGAGATTTGTCCACCACAGCGGAAAGCCCATTCATACCAAACATTCTTGGTTGTGCACCTGCGCCAAATGTCCACGGTGACAGTTGTGTTTTTCTTCATCATTATTGGGTCCTGTTTAGAAAAATAGTTTGAGATGTGCTTAAAATATCTTAAATAGGTAGGAGCCAATAACTAAAATATATAAAAATCTCTTCAAGCAGTAATAGCTAAAAATGTATCTATAAAGCACAGGTTAAAATTAGCTAAAAGGAAAAAGACAAGATTGGAGCTCTTCTTACCCTTATGGGGAAGAAGATGGGGAACCAACTAAACATGCCTGGTGAGTGTGTTTCTGGCACAATACCTACAATGATATAAGCAGAATAATAATAGCCATACAGTTATTTATATATATGGTGTACAATGTACATTGCTTAAAAACTGTTTTAAAACTATTTTAACTAGGATGGATTAGGCAGTTATTTTCTTTTTATCTTTAGTTAAAGCATTGGTCCCTTATGATATCACCCCTTTTTAAATATCTAATTAACTTGGTCATCATATTTGGATAGTTTGAATGAAACCACTGTCACATTGGAAGTGTGTTAAAACAGATAGTTGCAATTACAACATTTGACCACAAGCAGTATTTGTGTACAAATGATAGCATAGCTTTAAGATCAACTGTTACAAAATAAACAATACTTCAATCATAGAAAACTACACTCTATAATCAAACAATTTCTGTTAAACAAATGACATCTACAACAAGCAACAGAAAACAATTTAAGTAGAAATCTAGGACCAGTTACTGCAAGAAATCTAACTTGGTCTAGAAGTAAACAAAGGTAACTTACTTAGTGTCACTTGTTTATAGAGGTTAGTTTCAAAATAACCACCAAATCCATGAACAATAGAATCATAAGGAACTGTAAATTCGAGGGATTTGAAGCGGCAGTTGTCTATCACTGGATCTGTCAAATGTAAGAATTTTTTTTTTTGTTTTTAACACAAACAATATTTATTTTACTACGTTGTATTAATCCAATTTTTACAGTTATGACTAAACTTAGTAGAACAGAGTTTTCTCTACTGCAGCGGTTCTTAACCCTTATAGAGTTACTGAACCCCACTTGAATTATTTGCACATTCACTCAACTTTTTTTGGGAGGAATTTTTTATTTAAATTTTAAAATTCAAAACATAGGTAAATATTTTACTGGTGCACAAAATGAACCATGCACCAACATCACTGTGCTCATAGAAAAAAACATTTAAAATATGATTTTCACATGAAAATGAAATAATAAATAAAGATTCCCCTTTCAAAACCTGCAAAGTAAACTTTGACTGAATCTGAGAATAAGATTTTTTTTTTTAAATCACTCCAAATGTTTATCTGCAGCTTCAGTATTTGGCTTTGCTTTAAGAATGCATTTCAGTATGTCTTTTGGAACAAACAAACAAATTTTAAGAAAATTTCTACCCTTGACAATGAGGGGCGAAGATGATACTTAGCAGGTTTTGACAGTGGCTTAAATACTTAGCAAGTTAAGGAAGTGGTTTATTTGCAGTTCAATAGTAGTTATAATGCTGAGTTTAGACAGACATTAAGGACAGTTAAATCCTTGGCAGAATTCCATAAGACTGAGTATTGTGTTTACCACACATATGCATTTAGTCGGGTTCCTTGACATAGCTATGTCAAGGAACCCGACTAAATCTATTTCCCTGTTATTCAGCCTGCCAGCCTGAGAGAGTTTCTTAGTTTACAGCCTCACAGCAAATTCAACAGCAATGTACTATGTAAAATTCTTATGATTGCTTAGAATGAAAGCAGTCCTTAAACAAAATAAAAATAAAAAACTGGCAGTGAAAATTTACAGAAACAGATGACACAAAACAGACCACAACACATACAATTAAATTATGGCAACACAAAGTGTAGTTTACTGCCTAGGAAAATATGGTGATGGGCATTCTGACTGATTCAGTTTTAAACACTTTTGGAAGTGTCATCCTCAAAAAGACAGTCACATTCCTCTTCACATTCTTCATCCATATCACTGGCAGCTTGATTTGAGTCGTCATCAACAGATTTCAAGAAAGAAAATTGTTGGTTTGCCTCCAAGCCATCTCCAACAAATTTTGACATTAGTTTTTTAATGTCAGTAGTTTTACCCCTGTTTACTAAGAAATCTGGCACAACAAGAGATGGTTTGGCTGAAAAGGATTTTCCTCTTTTATTAATTAAAACTGGTTTGTTTAAAAAATTCCAATATTTGAGTTCTGGCTGAACCTTAGCACAAATCCTTCCTTTAGAAATAATGAAACTTTTATTCTCTTGAATTTTGTTTTGGATGAGGTTTCACCAAGGTCTGATCAGATAATGCTTTAAAATCAATAAACATCCTCTGCCAATCTCAATGTACCTTGATCTTTATAGATGTCCAGGTATTCATCTGGGCAATAAATTATTGATTTTTTGTCCAATACACCTAAAACCTTGTCACATGGAGGAAGGAATGGCCTCTGACTGGAAACCCCAGGCTGAGCTTGAGACACTAGCCAGTGTCCTGCCATCTGAATCAATGGCATTCATGTCTGATTTTTGGAGAGCATGTATAGGTGGTTTAACACAATTTGAGATGTATGTGTGTTGTGACATCAAGGGTTCCACTATTAGAAATATCACAATACCAACACATGTTATTTCGCTCAGGTGCACTTTAGTACTATGTCGTACTATGTCGTGCTTGTTGCATCTGAAAACTGTCATCAGCAGCTGCTGCTAGTCCAGACAAAATCCGATGGCAAATACGCATCAGGTGTTTCTTGACCTCTGACGAACCCTGAGATGGACTCACCAAACCCCTGGGGTTTGATTGAACCACTTCTCTATTAGGTTGTTTGAATCCTACTTAACAGTTGTCATGAAAAAAACTTACCTCTGTTAGGATGAATGAAGGTAAACACAGGTTGTGGTTTGGCAAGTGTAGCACAGTTGTGGAATCTAACAACATATGGCATTTCAAATGGAGCCTGAGAAAGATTCAAAAGTCAAGCAGATCATTCAGAGATGTAAGTACACTATAGCTATCTAAGGACAAAGATATTAGGTTCTTATAATTTTTCAGCATAGGAATGTGTAAGTAAATTTTTAATATAAAAATTCAAACTTTCAACAGCTTACGCAAAAAAAAAAAGCATAAACAAATTTGTATCTACCTCTGGTGCTTTTCCACGTTCAATTTTGGATGCTCTAACCTCATTGTGGAGCTTAGGTGACATGACAGGTGCCAGGAAGGATGTGTATTTCTCTGGTATACTAATTCCATCATCTGAAAGATGGAATAGTTTAGAACTCTTATTTTGGCTGTGTGAATGGGGAATACTTCTTGGACAATAAATATTAATGCGACTCTTGATTAACTATCACAAAGTAGCCCATTGTTCTAGTTCAAATTAGACTTAGAAAGCTTAAGGAAAATATTTGCACACATTCGTTAATTTTAGTAATTAAATTTTAGATAACAAAATTTTAAGTAAATAGGTTTACTTATATAATATACCGAGACATATCCTCTCACCTTTCAGATACCTCTGTGCACCATCTAAACACTCAGGTGACAGCTCATTATCCCCAAAAGATCCCAGAAGTTCACTGACAAGAATATCAGCTTTTTCTGGTGCCTCCCAGTCTCTCATATCACAGGAAATAACTTCCACATTGCTACCCCATTCCTCATCTTTGATATTCTCAAGTCTAAAACAGTAAAAAAAAAAAAAGGTTATGAAACAATGGTGTGTTATATTAAATAGTAACAAAAATATTCTTTATAATGTTGGAAGGAATAAATGTTATGTAGGAATCAAGGGAAGTAAATTTTTTTTGGGAACAACAATAAATTAGTTAAATTTTGTAATTATATATTGTGGCTTTATATAATAAAAAATCAAAATGACTGGAGTTAATTTTTATTTGTGTCTTTGTTAAAAACTGACTGATTTCTTACTAGTGTTCTTTGTGAAAAATGTCTTCTAACTTCTAAGTTTGGTATGAAAACCTGGATGATTAAATTATGCAATAATAAACTCACCCCCACCAAATTCTGTCAATACATTATGACAAAACTAAGACTTTCATATATTTTTACTTTCAACTTAAATTAAAAATACATTTACTACAAGCATATGATAACTACTTAAGCATGGCACTAAAGACATGATAAGGTGAGCCTCACGTTATAACAGCATTAGGATTTTTCTCCACAGCATACAGCCTCCTGATGGTGACACCTATTTCTTGAGCAGCTGCTAGAGCAGCTCGCACCAAAGGCCCTCTACCAGCACCCACCACCATTATAACACTGTAGGGAAATATTTGTTTAATGACATTTTTTTCCTAGCATATATAATGAAAGTAAAAATAAAAAAAAAACCACAGCAAACTTAAGACTAAACATCTCTATGTTTGCTGTGTTAAATTTTTACAACAAATTAATACTCTGTACTTTTTATTCTAAATTTTCTGCTTTTTTTTTTAATTTTAATTTTACACTAATTCTAATAAAAGAAATAAAAAAATTTTTTTTAATAAAAAGTTACAAAAAATAAATGTAGTAGGCCTATATGAAGTTTGGTGCTTCAACACTAAAATCTACATCAGAATACTTGGTACATAGGAAGAACTAAATAGGATGCAATGCATCTTCTACTGACTGGAAACAACAACTAAAGCAAATGAACATACACATCTTTTTTGTCCCTGTCTTCAAGTGGGATTCTTTCCCTCAGTGCTTCATACACAGCCTAGACAAGACAAACACAATTTTTACATGTATTTCTAAAAGCAAATGTATTTTATAGCCAAATTCCACAAGGAAGTTACACATATGCTGTGAAAGTAAAATCAAGATGGTAGAAGGTAGTGTTACAGAAAACTATATGAGATATATCATGTAAACAAAATACAAGCACTTACCAGTTGATATTGTGAATACTTAATTGGATCTTTCTCAAATACTTCATATGTCTGGGACTCTAAATTGTCCATCAGTGGCTGTACAAGTAGTGTTGATTACATTTTATTTTTAGTTTAGATACATTATTTTAATACCAAAAAAAGTAACCTAATGGTTAAAATGTAGCCTGATAGTTAAATGGCAACTGGTTCAATTTTATTTTTGGGATTGATAAATAATTTTACTACAAAAATACTGTAATTTTAAGGTTAAAATGTACCCTGATATAGTTAAAACCAGTGGCAACTGACCTGTAGTGGAGACTGCAAAAAGTCTTCATAGCCCTTAGCAAATTGGCTGACTGTGTCCAAGGGGTCCTGGGTCTGCCAGAGATGGTCTATATACTGCTGGTAGGATCGTATTGTCTTTTCAGGATGACGATCTTGTCCTGTAATTATAACTTGTGCGGCCAACTAAAATAGACACATCAGATAAAACATTTTTTATATGCAATACTTTTTTGGGGCACTTTTTCAACCTTTCCTATATCTGTATCTTAAAAGGCATTTTCAATTCTGATTTTTTTTCCCCCATTAAAAACTATTTCTAACGCTAAATTAAATTTATCTAACTTTTCCTTATATTTAAAAAAAAAAAACAGCATTGATTATTTATACTGTAAAAATAATAATAAGCAGCCACTGAAGAATTTAAGAATTATTTATCATAGCAGTTTCTGGTAATATATATTTCAAATAAGGGGTGGGGGGGTGGGTGGGAATTTTAACCTTTCAAAAGTTAACTAGTCAAAGTATAGATTAGGTCTAGTTAAAATTTCAGTCAGAACAAATGTAAAAAACAACGCTGGAAAAAATATATCCATAAATAATTTACCTTAAACATTTTTTTGATGACATTTTGGTGGGCTTTTGCTAGGACTGGATAGCCCTTTTTATTGGTTAGGAAAAGTGAAGTTGAAACTATAATGGCTTTAATGGGTTCTGAAAGCCATCTTTCAATGACATCATTGGATGGCAGGTCAGCAGTGAGTTCAATGGCCACCCCTAGCCGCTTGTTAGAGTCACAGAGTGAGCGGAACAAATTCCACCTACAGATAAAGAAATAAGCATTATTTTAATGAGATTTTATAAAAGTGAACATTGAACAAGAATGAATTGAGCTGGAATAAGTATCCTAAATGAAAATCTTATTAATATATACTTAGCAAAAAGAGACCAGGCAATTTTGTAGCTGTTTATATAATTTATTTAGGCTAATAAAACACCAGGCAAGAACTAGTGATATCTGATTAACAGGTGGTAATAAGGAACCCCCTCATCTACAGCCTGGTCAGACTACTCTTAACGGGCTACTGGTTGACACTATAAATGATGCTCAAATGTGTTAAGCTTTTAGAATGCATTAACTGTCAACTTTATTTTTTTATTTTATATAAAGAAGCAGTAGTTAACAAGAATTCTCGACATTTTTTCTTAGGTGAGAACTTTCAAGAAGCAGGTAAACAGAATGTTATAATTATATAGAAACTACTGAAACATTTCCCTCACCAAGACCAAGTATCCTCAAACGTTTCCCCATTCATATCAGTATCCACTCCTTCTATAACAGGCTCACACATGTCTGCAGCACTAATCAAAGGGACTTGGATCCAGTATTGCTGTATTGTTGGAAGACAGAAGCTTTGATTACTATCTGACTCATAAAAATGGCTAAGACGTTCCTGATTAAAACCTTGTTGTGTGATTAACTTACTTGTTGGTAGTAGCTAGAGGTGATATGTTCACTGATGCACTGGGCTAAGTTGGTGCAGTTTCCATTATTCAGGGGTAAAAGCACGGCTGGCAAACCAAGATGAGCTGACCAAGTGAGCTCTTCTTTCAGTGCCTAAACATTAACATTCGCAATGAAAGAAAACATTTTCTCGTGCTTAAATTGTGATATTTCAATTGTTAAAACCAGAATTCAACAACAACAAAAAATCTTATAAATTAGATAATTGTAAAAATTATTTAACACCAGAATTAAAATTCAAAACGAATTAAGCAGAATCATAAATGAGCATGCTACTTACTAGTTCACTGTTCTTTCTTGTGTGGTAATGTTTAGAATCCAGTTGAAGCCATGGTGATGTCTTGCCCACTACAAGACTGTTCCAGTCTAAAATATGGATAGTTATTTGCTCAGTACAACAGTACAAGACTATCTAGCCAATACTCCTACAGATGAACTCATGTAATTAGACAAAGGTGCCTAAATTATGTGTGGGTAATGAGCTGTACCATAGAAGTGTGAAATGCCAACAAGTATTTTATCATATTGGAAATTATGTTTATAGTGTACTGTATGTCACAGTATTAGAACTACATAACAGACGACTGGGGTTACATTACATTTTTTATCTAACAACTCTTTCCTCACTGACCTTGACTGGGTAAGCACATATCTGATCTTGTCAGGGCACATTTTCTATCTTTGGCAGGCCCATTTATAAATTCCCGTTTGAATCGGGGATTTATAAGAGGTAGGCAAACAAAATCAAAGCTGAAAGTATAAAGATCAACTTTTTAGCAAAGAGATTTTTTTAGATAAACATCACTACACTAATTACTTTGTCTTTCAAAACAAATTACTTTTTTTTTTCAATATTTCTCATCTGTAATAGATTCATAAGCAATGCAATTACCTATATTATTCATTTCTTATTTTCAGTCATTGCTGTTTAATAGATATTTTAAAATGCTACATTTTCGTGATTACTTTTTAAGACATGTCTGATGGTAGAAGTGTGGCTTTGATGGCCACCCCTTGTCTAGTTTATCTGTATTCTATTTTTTTTAAATTTTAGAATACTTTAACAGGTGGAAACTAGTTTAGAATGAAGGAGCATTGCTTTAATTGAACACATAAGAATAATGAATGTATACTGTCATTATATTTCAATTCACATTTTTCTTATATTCCGCTTGAAAGTTGAATTACCCAGACAAATAAACTACAAAGAGCAACTGCAAAGTAAAGTTCCTCTTCAGACCTAGCAATCAATTAGGCAGATGAAGTAGAGTTTGTTTCTTTACCTCGGCATAGGAAGTGATGGTGTGGTCAGCACTATGCCTATCGCCTTTACTTTCCCCAAAGCCAAGATCCAAACTCAAGAGCTAGTATAGGCTGGTAACTAACGTTCTACCAGTCCATTGGACCACGCCATCCCAATATGAGAGCAAAGGGGAGAATTTTTATAGTTATACCAGTGACTGATAATAGAATCTTCTTTTAAAAAGGGGTGTTAGCCGTTAGGTTACTGGTAGTGGTAGTTAACTAAAATAAACACATGGCTGGCTAATGCCAATGACTCAATGCTAACCCTGTCCTTAACCCTAACCCTAGTCCTACCACCATGCCATATAAGATTTTTTGCCATATAGGCCTACCTAGATAAAAAATCTGAAAAAATCTAACCCTCTAATTTCTAACCATATAAAATTATAAATTGAGTCGAGATTTTAATACTACTAAACAAAGTAACAACCCAACACACCTATTTTATTTTAAGGAAGAATATTTTCCAACACGAAACTTTTAAACTTTTTCATTTTGTCATCAATATTAAAAATAATAATATAGGGCCTAGGCCTATAGAAAATAAAGTAAATAAAAAGCAAATAAAGAATAGTTTGGCATACCCAGCCCTGCAAGCAGTTTCTAAAGCCAATGAGATATCTGGACAGCAATGGAAATCTCGACCACATGATGCTCTTGAACTGACTCTGGGCATGTTATCTTCTTCCAAGTGAGGCGATTCCATAAACAGTAATAGAAAATGTGATCAAGTTGGGCCTAGGCGGCTGCGTTGTATCGACAATGGGTAGCTTACCTTTTCTACCAATGGGTATAGCCTACTCAGTATAGCACTGCTGCAGAGCTAGATTTTACTACCAAACTGTGCCGCAGTTTAGTATCGATACTGAAATAACATCGTCTTGTTGTACATAGGGCCTAGGCTTAGGCCTAGGATAAACAAGCCTACCACAAGTGCATATTTTTTTCGAATTCGATAAAGAAATCTTGTTGTTTTTTCTGAATTTTAGGCCCCTAGACTCTAGACTAGTTAATAATAATGTGTATTTGACCTAGATCTAGATCTAGATCTTGATTTAATTTTTTTTAAATGTCTGCGCTTCATGCCCAGCAAAATTCTGAGTAGATTCTAAATTCTAGTAAACACGATTTTTTTTCAACTGTTCTGTTCTACACTACACACTCTAACTAACCATATCTCATCTAGATTCTAGACTAGGCTATCTAGATCTAGATAATCTAGATTTATGTCTAGATCTATTCTATGGTGTCCTTCTCGATCTATTAATAAATAGTAATATTAGTAGAAAGTACTTAGATCTAGTAGACCTATTCAATTCAGTAGTAAAGTTAGAGTTAGGCCTAGGCTAATAACACAGCAGACTACAAGGTGTAACAAAGATACAAAACTAGAAATATAGATAGTCTATCAATTAATCCATCATCTACTAGATCTAGAGATTATATGTAGTACTTAAAGAATCTAAGATCCTGTAGTTAGTCAGTTTGAGCGTTCTAGATTGTAAATATTCATAGTTCATAGATATCTCTTAATAACTAGACTAGACAAAGGTAATCTCACGATATAATGTCGGAAATTATCTGCCAATCTGGTAATGTTTGTTGAGTTTCGGTAACATTTGTTACTGTACTGTAAACCATAGTTTGGTAACATTTGTTACTGTAAACCATAGTTTATTTGACCGTTGAAATAAAAATAAAGTCAAGTGCATTAAGTTAATGTTTTGACTTAATTTAAAGTTTAATTGACGGAAGATTAGCTACAATTACAAAATAGTAAATCTAAATAATATTAATAAAGTCGAGTGTAGTAATTAATTAATGTTTTTTTAAGAAACACAGAAAAAAAAATGTACAGAAGATTTTCGACAACTAGATCAGGCGGATCCAGATCTAGTAAAATAAGACGTTTAGATTTACTAAAGTTAAAAGTAGTAAGAATAACTAGAACAATGTTTAGTAGCAGCAATAATTAGCACATACACTTAAAATAATTAGAAATACAAAATAATACAGTATTAAAAATGCGACTAAAATCAATCCATGCTCATTTTTAAACATTATGGCAGCAAATAGATGATGTTTTACAGTATTTCCGGTGGTTCGGAACGGCTCGACAGACTACGCTATGGTTTTACTGTTTTTTTACTGCTGTACAATTCCGGAATAATTACAGACGCTATATCATGATTTTACAATGACAAAAATAAACAAAATAAATTTCTTGTACCTTGATAGTGGTTTTGCAAACTGTAAAAACAGAAACTAATCTATTACAGTAGTGATTGTTCTACAGTAACTAAAACACTCCGTTGCATGGCAAACAAAATAAACCGGGAGTGATCTCCCCTAAACTTTCTCGAATATTCTTATATAAAATAACAGGGGATGGAAACTCGGGCTATAGACATGATTTTTAATCCATTTTAAATACTTAAAGTTTTAAAAATAGAATAAAATCTCGTAGACAAATTAATTGCACACCAAGTGAACGCAAATAAAAAAAGCGCATAATAGTGCGCAATATTATTAGTACTTTTAAAATTTACATTAGTTTTTTGAGAAATCGGAAGTAGCGTAAATTACTACTTCCAGTCAACGGAAATTACTCAAAATTTTACAGAAGGTAGAGAATTAGATCTTTTACTTACATGTGAAATTTCATTTATCTATCTGAAATAGTACTCAAGTTATAGGCTTTTAAAAAATTCAAAGTAGGAAAAGTACCACTTCCGGTTATCGGAAATCGCTCAAAAGTTGATACGAATCTACGATTTTGATAAAATACTTATATATGAAATTTCATCAACCTAGCTGTAACGGTACTCAAGTTATCGTGTTTACACACGGACAGACACACACACACACACAGACATACGAACAAGATTGCAAAATTATGTTTTTCCGTATCAGTGAGGTGTAAAACGTCGAGATTTGTAAAAATCTCGATTTTTTTTTTTTGCACGATTACAATACTTTCTCTATACTACGTATATACGAGAAAGTAAAAAACAACTACATGACTTATTGCTGTTCTTTAAATAGTTTAATAGGGGTTATTTAAATAGTTTTGTAGGCTAATATTATTATAATTAAAAAGCAGTTGCTTCTCTTAATTAATATTTAAATAAGGCACAATTAAGAATAACATAGCCATAAAAATTAATGTATTAAAAAAAATGAATAATATAAATGCAGTGGCATGGCATTATATATAGTATATATGCCCTCTCTCTCTAGATATATATATTTATATATATATATATATATATATATATACACACATACATCTATATTAGGGTGTCGCCTAAATTTTAAAACTTTATTTATGTTCATGATGACTTAAAAAATTAAAAACTACATTTATTTACCTTTAATTTGATATCAATTTTATTTATTCGATTCAATCGGTAGCCTAGAAAATGATTTGTGAAAAATCGCGTTGTTTTTAAATGGCTACAATGATAAGACTGATTTTCAACGATACAGTTGGTTAGTTTTTTAGGAGTGTTTTTGAGACGCGATTGACCATTCGCTGCCATTGAGCAGAAATGTGTCGTCTGCTAGATTTCTCCCCATTCAAATACACGGCAGGCAAAATGGGCGTGCTTAGTTTGCTGTTGTCTTGATCAAGTTACGTTTTATGGGTTTCATTTTTACCCTGCATGATTTTTAAAGCATTAATGACATTAGTTTAGTAGAAGCAAGTTATAATTTTCTATAATAATAATTATAGTTTAAAATATATTTTAAGTAAGTTTAGAACAATATCACATAGAGCAATCACGTTTTTCTTACTTTTAATATGTTCTGCTTGATATTCTCAGCGATTAGACACCAAAAAATGTACAAATGGCAAGTTAGCATCAAACACTAATTGAATAAATATATTGAAAAATACGCAAAAATAACGATTTTTAGTATACATTTCTGAAATGACCACGAAACATTGTTAAAAACGGAATCACTATATCATCGTTTTCGGCAGCCACCATTACCATGACAAGGGTAAAAAAAAGTAGGTCAAGCGACAACCTAATCTATATATGATACATAATTCCTTTAGCCAAGCAATATTTCCTACTTGTTTAGATTAAAACTACAAAAAAATTATCTGTCATAATTTAGATTTCTACATTCACTCTATAGGCTTAGTCAGTATGAGTAGTTAAAACCCATGGTGAGCTACTATTATCCCTGGGATTTGTCTACGACCACACAAAGCAGCATAGGGGGTTGTCATTGACTTTTTTAAAACAATGTATAGGCTTGTATAAGGAGTAATTCACTCACTTTCATTTTTTAACCCTCATTGAGGGTGTATAGTCTGACAAACAAGTCATTGTCATTCAGTGAATAAATAAGATTAGTTAAAAATAGTCCTCACTTACCAAATTATTTTTCAAATTTCACAATCTCACACAACTACAACAAAAGAATAATTTTTTTGGAAATTTAAATTTTGTCTACAACAAAGCCTACAGTTTTGCCAACTTCACCTCTCTAATTCATCAATGTCACTGTTTAATACAAATTCCTGCAACAACTGGTATTTAGGCCTATTCATGTAATCAAACAGTGAATAACACAAATGAACTGTTTAAATTGAATTTATAATAAGAGTATGTCCAATAATATTAAACATTGAGTACAGTGTAAATCTGTAAAAACAAAACAGGACTAATTCATTTTTTTTTTCAGCTTCAAAAACAAGAATGTCATGACATTAGACAAGTTCTATATGAGGTGAGAAATATTTTTGTAAATAACAATTCTTGTACATTGGAAGTTGTGGGGCTTAAAGCATGAGTTTAAATTTTTAAAAAAATACAAATACAACAATGCACACAAATAAAAGATTGACATATAACTTTTAGAAGCTATTTCTATTTGTACCTTGAGGTATTTTACAAACTTTCAAATAATCATTGTAAAATTAAAATAGGAAAATAATATACATTTTGTGTAAAACGCAGCAACATTAAATTTATTTGTATCAATGTTTTTATTGTTGTTGGACTTCTATTTAATCACTTAGGTCAATTTTTCCTGTATCTGCTTTAGAAAGGACACAAAACCGGTATTTTTTTTCTTGAGATCCTTATGCCTTGGTGCCCATTGATATATCACACTTTAAAGCTACTAGAGGCTCATGTTAACCTTGAATACAAGTCATTCATTCTCAGTTTCCCCCTCCTTAGTAAACCTGGCCATGTCTTTCATGGCTGTCTTACGTTAATTAAAAATTGCATATTTTATAGCTTTGGAAATGGCACTGACTTCTACCTCATAAAATGTACATCACTTTGTGAAGGCCAGCTATTCTTGTTTATTGTCTCGTCCAAGAATGCTTACAGAATTCCTTACTTTTCATTTTGGAAGCTTATTAGAAGTTTTAGATACTTCATCTTTTCCCATGACTCAAGTCATTCCACACAAACATGTATGTACTCTTTAATTTGTGCACTTGCGCTGGTCTAATTTTTTTTTTGACTATTTATTACCCCTACTTAACCCTTTGTTTAGCATATTATATGGATCAGGAACAAAAACATTTTAAAAAATAAATCTAGGTAGACAAGATTAAAGGCCTCCTTCATACCTCATCACTGTGTTGACCATATGGTTAGTTACAGAACCTAGTATTCACAGATACAACATAGAAGGCATAACAGGATTACACAGTAGGCCAGTCTAGCAGAGTTGTTGTATTTGGGGAGGATCACATACTAGACTTGTTTACTGACATTAACTAAGAGAAAATGGACCCTGATGTTTGTACAGCCAAAAATGGAAAAAAGACACAACCGAGTTCCTTGTGTGCAGATTGTGTCTTTAGTATAAAACATTGGGGGGGAGGGGGGGGGGGGGGGGGGGAAGCAAACTATTTTTTCCTTCATAATTAAAAAACAGAATCTATTTTTGTAGATTCTTCTAAGTTCTATTGTACATTTTATAGAATTGGTTTATATGCTCTTTTTTTGGGTTTTCAAACAAAATAAACAGATAAAATTACTACAAATTATGTTTCAATGTAAAAGTTTTAATTGATGGATATAGCATGAAGAAGCATTGTAATTCCATATGGTTTTTTGGTAAAGACATGATGGAATTTCAGCTTTTCCCATTTCTACCTAAGACACATGGGGCTGAAGTAGAATTCATCTGTTTTAATTACCTTGGCACACAGGGGGATAGTGTGGTCAGCTAACTTGGTTTCCCTATCGTGAGTCAGGTACCCATCTTAGCTGGGTGGACTCAGAAAAGTCCAACAGACTTGATCCCAGGATCAGAACACTAAGTTTTTGAATTAGCAGTTTTAAGCTGTACCATTTGACCACAATGTCTGCAATGGTAAAGTATTTCAACTCATATATTTTTATGAACAGCTTAGACTGCAGATATTTCTACTATAAATTGCACTGAGCCCTAATGGTAACTTCTCTTCTATACCTCATATAAAACAAGTGAACAGGCCCTATTTTTGCTTTATTTATTCATTTCATTACATCCAACTTTGCCTTCAGTTTTATTTAGTCAATGAATCATAGACTTTTTTAAATAAGCAAAAGTTGTGTAAGAAGGTGTCAGGTAGCAAATTAAAACTATGCAGTTTAAATCATCTTATTAACAGTCTCCTGATTATGTTCACCTTCTTTCCCTAGAAAAATTCACGTGATCTTGACCATTCAATTTGTCCCATATTTACTGACGTATTTAATTAATTGCTCCAAAAAATGGGCACATGTCCCACATTGTGTTCAAAATTTTAAAATAAATCGGCCCACCGATAAGAGAAAATTACCCGGTCTAGATCTAAAATTCTAGATCTACTATTCTAGATCTACTTAGTATTTTATTTAATAAATAAAAGTAAGTGCCGCTATTTAGATCTAGTTGTTTTATTTTCTACTTTTCAGTAATTCATAATATATGAATTCGACAGTACCCATGCTGCCACTGAATATTTTTGCTTTATAAGTTATTAAAACACTATCAGTAGCTCATTAAGGACGATAACATCCCCCCTCCTTTCCCCCAACCCCCCCCCCCCCCGTGAAAGCAGCCTCCTCTTAGTTACCTCCCCTAAGTTTAAAATCGTTTCAAACTAAGCTCACCAGACCATGTTGGACTGGGGGTGGTAGGGAGCGCGCTTACAGCTTGGTGTTTTCTAGGGTCTCCAAGAAGAGAATTATATAGATATATAGAAGATTATCGTTTTCCTATAAGTATCATTATTCCCCTTACCATCTTCACCACATGTCTCTACTATTTAACCACTATTTAATACACTCATTAAATGTTGCTACAGAACACGTGACGCGGGTTTGAGTCGGTATGAGTTGTGGAAAAACATGTCTTGGAAAAAACACTGAAAAATTAATTTGAACAGGTAGATCTAAGTAGCCCTAAACTTAAAGTTTGAAAATTGTAAACAATAGTAAGCAAAATCTTGTTTGAGTTTGTTTGGGGTATTAGCGCCTTAATACAGTTAGTTCTAATTTCATGGAGTGGGATCAACTTTTAGTTGACATCATTCATCTGACCATACACCAAGCCTAATCACTCAGCGGAGATGTAAAGTTTCCGCTTTTTTCCGGAAATAATATTGCTTTTAGTACTGAACACACATTTTGGGGTTCTAATTTCTGACAGCTCGAGAACGATCGATATAGATCTAGATCTAAACATTTCATCTATTGTCTAAAACTTTACTTGAAATAAGTCATTTTGGGGATCCGCTGCGGTGTTCTAACCCGCTTAATATACGCCAGTGAATGTGTGATGTCACACTTTCCAAATACCCATCTTTCATCACACTTTCACTTAGATCTAGTAAAAACATTCTACCCCTACCCATCTTACATAACTGCGATACGCTGTCATTTATAGACGAACTCATTTTTTTTTAAAAGAAAATTACAAACATTAGGCCTGTTTTTAATGCTTTTTGAAAAGTGATCATACAAAATATAGAAACTTATTTTTTTTTTTCGTATTTTTAAAATGTCGATATTTTATTGTTTTCTTGTAAACACCCCCGCCCTTCCCCCGCCTATTCCACGATGTGAGCTGTAATCAAGCAAACGTATGCTTACCACATGCTAGCAACCGCTCTCCAGTAACATAAACTGCATCATTTTAATATGAGACGCTAATCGTGTTATCTTATAACTAACGTTTAAGCCGTTATATTACACTATTTAATAATCTGTTTCCGTGTACGAATTACTTTAAAATCGTAAAAATTATTCGAACTCGTACGCTAAGACCTAGTCTAAAGTCTCTGCAGTTTTTAAGTAACTGAGAAAGACAAAATAGATTCACTAAAAAAGTAAACCGGAACAAAGAATCGTTGAGTTCATTCCCGGCTTGGTTTCAACAAACAGCAAGTTTGATGTTTGGGTAAGAATAAAAAATATATAAATATTCTAAACATGTTTATATAACACGAAACTACGTTAATAAGTTCATACGAAGCGCTTTGGACTTATTCGTGAATTGTTTGTGAGCTGTAGATCTAGATCTAAAAGAATGTTATCTAGATTATTGACTGATTCAATCACTGATTGTTGGAGTATTTTTTTTAAGTTAGGCCCCCCTAAAATAAATAATAGACTTCTAAATATTATAATTATAATCAACCTTCTGAACTTCATGAGCAGGTTTATATTTTAGAGATCTAGATTCTAGACATATTCAAAATCTAGATTAAATTTTAGATTAAGTCTAGATCTAGATTTTACAACTAGACTCTAGAATCTACCTGCTGTCATAATAAAATATTAAAATCTAAAAATAGGCTCTTACCATAACAAACAACACTAGATTTCTAGATCTAGATTCCAGTAAATATATTTTAAAATGCAAATTAAAAAATGGATCCCACTTAACTAGATTGTAAAATTATATTTAGCTTAATGCCATTTAATGGTCATTGAGGCAGGCTTTATTCATGGCCTATACAATTTTGTAAGAAGCAAAATAAAACATTTAGTGAAGACTTATTGTTACGAATTCCCTTTAAATATTCTTACTTCCTAATGTTATAACTTTTAAAATGGATGGTTTTTAAATAATATAAACATTGAGACAAAATAAACCTTAAACAAAAAACAAGGTTGCATAACTGGTGAATTGAATGTTGGCTTCGTTTATTTATATTACATTACAAATTGCAGGCTTTCTTATTTTGGCATCTAAGAAATTTTTAACTGAATTTTGTCATTTTTACTATGTCACTGATACTGACAGTTTTATTTTAATTTTATATTTTTGTGCATGTATTTTATAGCTTGTTAATATAAACAGTTTTATTGTTAAGCTAGGTCATCATTGCTTAAACCAGAACCATTATTTTATTTTGCTAGTGACAATGCACTCTGCACTCAAGTTATAATTACACGTCTTTGAAGGTTGAGGTTGAATCATGCTGAAAGAACATGAGTAAGTATTGTTTTTTTTTCTGTTTTGTTTTTAGTAGCCCTACATGACATAGTGAATTATTTAAGAACAATATTTTAAGTAGGTGGATACTCATTTATTTGAAACCCATGCAATATTTTTGGAATCTGATAAGTGTATAAAACAAAACATAAAACCATGATCTTCAAAGTTATTTTCAATTGATGCCTGCAACAGCTATTTTTTTTATGGCATTTTGTTGGGCAGTGAGAAGTGTTAATGAATGTTCAGCTTGCTAAGAAACATGTTGGGGGAGGGGGTGTTGAAAGTGCTTTTGTGACATTACTGATATTTGATTAGAAACAAAGGGGGAATCAGTCTGGATGTCTGGCTTTTTTATTATGTGTGACAATAGGTGGGTGGGTAAAAATCTACCTAAAAGCATATTGTCATAACTTATTGGATAAAATTTAGAATATTCAAATGTAATGGTGGCAGAGTTGTTCTGCTACAACACTTTGAATTGAAAAACAAAACAAGCATTAATCTGATGGGTTTTGAAAAAGTGTTCTGTGATAGGCAAATTAATACATACATTTTATTTTCTCATGACATTGATAAACAATTTTTTAGGGATGAGTATACAGACTCTGCCTTTGAATGGTCGTTTTTGGAGCTGACAGATCGTATGAAGCAGCACCTAGCTGATGATGATCACAACCTTGTACACAAACCTAATCTTGATAAGTTCGTTTTTTTTTCTTACATTTTTTCTTACAATTCAATTGCTGCCATATGTGAGGCATTTTAAAACTTTATATGTGTGTGTATGTGTATAAATATATATAATAAATATAGCCTATATATATGTGTGTATGTATATGTATATATATATAATATATAATATATATATATATATATATATATATATATATATATATATATATATATATATATATATATATATATATATATATATATATATATATATGAGAGAGAGATGGTAAATACATGTCAACGGATATAATTTTTAACTTCTAGACCTGTTCAGTTTCATCGTGTCAGTGAAACAGGAATACCAAGACGGCAGTCTGGTGAAATAGAAGATGCAGATTCTGGATTCAAGGTTAAAAAAAATTATATAAATGTTATATCAAAAAACATAACATGTTTTGTAATTGGTTTGTAGTTTTAAAGAGTTCTTTAATATCCCTGGATTTTATAATCCATTTACAGCCATGCAACCACTTTTATAGTGCATACACCCATAGTTTTATAATAGAACTAGTGTATATTAAAAATTGAACTTGTTAGGCAGCACAAACAATACAACTCTTACTTATTTTACATTTAAGGTTGAACTTCCACTTCAAAAACCACCTGATCAGCTCGAATTCAAACAGGTAGAAACACATTTTTTAATTTCTTCAAATAGATATCTTAACTTGGAGATTATCTGAACATTTGTTGGAATTCACAAAAGCTAATAAATAAACCCCATTGAAGTTAAAATAAAGTACCCTCTTTAGTGTAAATAACCATCACATATAGTTTTTTTTAGCTACCCTGATGATGGTATCTATTAATTCTAGACATGGATTTATAACAGACTTAATCCTTGACTTTTGCCATCCAATTTTAATCAACAAGCATATTTTATTTTAAATTTAAACCCTAATCCTTTTTATTGTAGACTGTACACACATTTATTTTATCATTACAGACAATTGATGGTTGGAATTTTGATATTTTTGCACTGAATAATGTTACAAATGGTCATGCAATGCAGGCTATTGCATATGAAATATTTACTGGTCATGGTCTCCTAGCTGAATTTCATCTATTAGAATCACAGTTTATGAGATTTATCATTCAGGTATTTTCCACTTATCCACTGGAATATTTTATAAAATTGAAGACCATAGGTATTTGAATAGCTCAGTTTAAAAAATAAAGACAAAATTAACTTTTTAAATTAAATTTTAATGCAGTCTTGAATGTTTAACGTTTTAATTTTCTAGTAAAAATAAATGAATTAAGATATTCCTATTTTGTCTTATTTCTTCAGACAGTGTTTTGATTTTATTGCATCTTGTATGTCTATCATGTTATTTGTCTATAGAGCACTGATCCTAGATTGAAACAAAAATCTTCACATGGCCAACTTTGAGTATTGCTTTCATCTGAAACTATATCTTTCTAGGTTGAGAAGCATTACAGAAGAAATCCATATCATAATGCATCACATGCTGCTGATGTTCTTCAGACTGCAAATTGTATTATTAAAAAAACAGGTTTTATCGTAAGTTAATTATCTGTTTATCAGTTTTTTTAAATTGATGACTTGTTTAAATGCTATTGCACTTCTTCATACAAAATAACTTAACATTTGTGTTAATTGTACGCTTTACTTTCAGACATTATTAAACAAATTAGAACTTATGTGTATGTTGGTGACTGCTATTGTTCATGATATAGAACATACAGGTACCAATAACAACTTTCATAATAATTCCAAGTAAGTTTTCCAAATATTCTTTTTGTATAAATCATTTTTAAAAAGTATACTTTTGTATGCCAATTATAAATTTAAAAAAAATAATCTTTTACAGTTCTGAACTATCTAAGTTGTATGTGGTTTCAATTTTGGAAAATCATCATTTGAGAGTGGGATTGAGAATGCTTGCAGAGTTCAAAATTCTAAATGCACTTGACAAAGACAAATTTCAGTAAGAGATTGTTTAGTTATTGTTTTTAACCTTCACTGTACATCATGATTTAAAAGCTTGTGATGATTTTTATATTCAATGCATAAATGTAATTGCTAAAATCATAATTTTTATTTACAGAGAATTCAAATTTATGCTCACTACTATGATACTCTCAACTGACATGGCAAACCATTTTCTTCTTATTACAAATGTAAAATTAATGTTATTAACATCAACCAAGTAAGAAATGGCTCCACATCTTTTTCTAATTTTAATTTATAGTATACGTGAATCATGATTAGCCCTTCCTTGTTGTACCATTTTAAAAATCTAATTTTTCTCTAACTTTATTACTAGGTGTAAATCACGTATCAGAATACAGCGAATAATGATGTTTATGCTACATGCAGCAGATATCAGCAATCCAGCCAAACCTTGGAATGTGCATAAAGTTTGGGTGTCTTTGTTGTGCGAAGAATTTTTTGCACAGGTTACAATTTTTCCTTGTTAAATAGTTTTGTAAAGATTTTGTTATAAAATTTTGATTTGTGAAGCAGTCTATTATGCTGGTAACAGCATATATGTTTATTTCAGAGATTTTCTTTAGTCTTCTTCTTCGTTCTTAATTTTTAGTGTTTGGGAGGGATCGAGCCTTATCTGCCAGAGGGTTTGAACTCAAGACTTTTTTCAAAGTTATCAACCATGAGTTTTTGCCGACTCGACCATGCTTCCATCACAATTAAGGATTACGTGTCAACTGGTTTTGCGCCATTGAGGCCATTGACTCCGATTTCAGCCTGCTTTTCTTTTTGGATTTGCTTCCATAGCCTTTGTCCAACCAAGAACAAACTACAAGGCAGCAGTTGTTTGATTTTGGAGTTCTCTCTCCTAGAAGAGTAGCTGTTCCCAGCTAACGAGCCTCATCTACCCGAGGGTTCGAACTCGAGACTTTTCGGTTTAGCAACCATGAGCTTTACCGACTCGACCACGCCGACCCCTTCTTTAGTCTGAAATTAGCCTTTATTAGGGATCCTTCAACCTAAGGTTCTGTTGTAATTTTGCTTTTACATATAGATTTTTCAATTTTATTATACTGTTACATACTGTAGCTTTTAATATGTCAGTACTTAAAATTATTTGTCCTCTAGTGAATGTAAACCTTTTTACACAAGCTAGTTACCATCTCTATACTTTGATTTCGACAGGGTGATAAAGAAAAAGAATTAAAACTACCTGTCTCACCTAACTGTGATCGGCTGACAGCTAATATAGCTACCCTACAAATTGGTAAGCATTTTGTATATTATACACTAAAATTATTGTCGTGCCACTGCTCAACCCTCACTGTTGTATTTAAATATACCAGAAAGTTTATTTGTTCATGTATTTGGATGATCATAAGATGTTTAAACAAATTAAACTAGGTTGAAAATAAATTCTCTTTGCAGAACTTAATAAAGTGTTTTAAAGAGAAAAAAAAATGATAGAACTGTGCAATTTTCTCAGAATTATTTCAAAATTTTTGTTGCATTTTAAACTATTTTCAAAATGTAAACATTATTTATTTTAAGGATTTGCACAGACGTTTGGAAAGGAAACATTTGAGGTTTTGGACAGTATGGTTGAAAAAGAACTTACCAATGGTATTTACTATTCAAAATTTACTAAGCAAGCATATTAAGTCTGTAGTATAGTGTATTTAATTATTAATGTTAAACATGTTTAAGTTTTAGAAATTATACAGTCTTTTTATTTCAACAGCTGGCCTTGTATATAATGGCTACAAACCATGGCAAGAATGCTTAGAAGAAAACATGCAAAAATGGAATGGAGTAAGTAATGATTAAAATACCCTAATGCTCATTTTTTTCTTTTGTTTCTTTAAGCTGAGTAGATCTAAGAGGACTCAATAATTTTAAGCTCTTTATCTTGTGACTTTTAAGTCATTATTCTTTGTTGATAGTCCCCAATAAGTTGTATAAGTGTTAAAAAAAACTATTTTTGCTTTTTATTCTCTAATGTGAGATGATTAATTACTTGTTGTGTTCATTAACAGAAATGGAAATACATTAAGTACGAGCAAATTCAGGAACTCTTAGTTGAAACTGCTGCTCATCGAATGAGTATTGTACCAACGAAACTGGGTAAAATATCTTTACAGAATAGAACACTTTACTGTTTAATTTTATTTTATTCTTTTTAAATTCTCGGTTTGCCTAAATTTTTATTGAGCATTGTCTTTAGAAAAAAGTTTAATCATTATTAGAGTAGTCCTAGATACTAAAATGTTAACACAAGTCCACTATCCAGAAATAGTAGAATTCAAAATAAAATTGCTAGCAGTCCTGCCCTAAATGTAAAAATTAGGTTTTAGAGTAAAACTAACTAAAATGTGGACATTTAATAATCTAGTCAGGGAGTTAGCAGTCTCCCTGCAACTCCAATACTAGTTGATGGCAAGCTGGCTGCAAACAACAGACATGGAGCAAAAACATTGTTATGGGGAAAAACAAAGAAAAAGACTTGTAATACTATCAATGAGATGTCTGCTACATTCTTGACAATATATTTTAATGTTGTATTGCAGCAGTTAACTGCTGTGGATGTATAAAGTTTTCATAAGAGAAAGAACATTTTGTGGTCCAGTTCAATTGGCCAGTAAAGCATCTCCAATTTTTATGCTTTATCTCCTTTAGAGGCCAAAAACTGGGTATGCTCCTGAAAGTCCAACAGTTTATAGTTTTTTTTTTAAATTTAATTTTGAGCAAGAATTTTGGAATGAAGAAGGGGTTTAAAAATCAGGTGACCAAAAGTGTAATCATATAACTCAATTGGTGAACAGAAGTTGTTCTTTCTCTTTTTATCTAATGTTTTGCGCTCCACACAACTGCTAAAGGACTGGTTTGCAGTGGTCAACCTACACAACCACTCCTAATTCCTTTTCATACATACTAAACATGTACTTGATCTTTTTTTGGCAATGGTTGTTAAAAATGGACACAATTTCACACACAAATTTCTTTTGATATCCCATTTCTGACTACTTGTTTTAGTGAATATTCATCACCAAATAGAATTTAAATATGTAATAACAGAAAAACTATTATTCTTTTTACCTATTTATTAAGAAACATTAAAAAAAAAATTTGACCTCACAATGAAAATATTTATTCTGTAACATTTTGTTGAATAATTGATTAGCCGACAACCGTAACTTACATTTATTTTTTTTCAGCCAGAACACAACCAGAAAAGCGAAGTGTCTTGGCAACCCTTTGCTGTTGCTTCTGTTGCCGAGCAGGAAAAAAATTAAAACAAGAAGAGTCATCTTTTGTGTACAGCGGTGAGAAGTGAAGATAATGTGGATGAATATAGTGATACCGAAACTCAACTCCAACTATATAAGGAGATGTGAATTTAGCTGCATGAACTTTTTACAAATGGTTGATCAATTTGAAGCTCTAGCTAAGGTATATGCATGGGGGACTCTTTTTCTGATGAAATATTTGTCCAACAGAGACGAACTCCTTTGAAATGTTCTTTGTTCTATTGTTTTATCAATTTTTTTTTCTTCTCCATATTATCAGATTGACATAATTTTGTAGGCAGTTATGAAAATGTGCATTTGATTTGTAATGTACATATAGTTTCCGTCCATATCTCACTTGTTAAGCCACATGTAGCTAATTTATACAAAATACATGTTTCGTTTGAAAGAAAACATGACTTGAAATTCTTTTGAAAAATTAACATTAAGTTAGTGACTACAAAGGATTAGCTTTGTTTTTTTTTTTACATAAGTAGTGTTTTATATTCTCACTTGTAAAAAAACTGGTTCCAATTACAGATTAATTGAAAAGACAGTAACTATGATTTTACTTAAAAGTGGATTATTAATTTGTTTAATCAAGTTTTCCATTAATATATTAGCTTAAAAAAAAGTTTGAGATATTCATGCTGGGGTATAATTTTACTTGCTATATTATAAATGAAACACAACTAATGTACTTACTAGAATTACTTTAAAATATTTTAAATAAGAAATATTTGCAGGGCAGCTCTGTGTATATTGAAGCAAGTGCATCTGGCAGCACATTCCCAAACTGTTATTTCTGTATAAGATAGCTAAAACCCCGACAAATTTCTTCTAATCACTGCATACCTAATGTTACATGACTTTTCAAATTAGCTTTGAAAAGATAATTAAAATGTGGCATTGCTCAATTTTGAAGAAAAGTTCTATTGTTAAAACTTGTGGCTGTCTGAATATAAGATTGATGTGATACTTATTTTATTTATTCTTATTTGAACTAGACATAATCTAACCTGTTGTATTTTACTCCTTTAGTCATTAGTTAACCGGTTAATCTGACTGTGTGTCAAATATTAATTAGTGATAGCAATCTCTAAAATGTAACTCTTTGACAAGCTATATTATTTTTTTTGTGTTTAATAATATACTTTACTCTATATCAAAAAATGCACATAATTTTACTTGGAATGATTTCTTTTTTTTTTCTGCTTTAGATGTATGAAAATGTATTGAGCTATTGATTGCATGAACATTTATTTGTATACAAGTATGTTTTGTGGATTGGCATAATTTTTTTACCTACAAGGAACACTGATATTATACATTGTAAAACTTCTGGACTGCTTTCATATTACCTCATAATATTAGCATTAATTAAGTTTAAATTTCAATTTTGTATTTCTAAAAATACATGTTTAATCAAATTTTAAAGATTCATTTAATGTCTGCTAATTTTTTAATTTTTCATAATTCAATAGTAGTACATTTCCAAAAAGTTTGTGAAACAATAGTGGATTTTATATATATACGTCAATGACATTCTTTAGAGGTTTAGCGCTGTAAGCTCTCTTTTCTCTGCTGATAAATGTTTTCATTTTTAGTCTCAGGAATCATCTGCCTATACCAAAGTTTTCACTAGTCAGCATTTTCTATAGTCATTTTTTTGTTTTGTTTTACATTTTGGCATGTACAATGTACATGTATAAAATGTACTGGCAAATTTGTTTCAACTCTAAAAGCTCTTGTTTTTTATTGCTTAAAATTTTGGACAGTGTAATTTATCCTAATGTGGTAGAAGTAGTTGATCTGCTGGATGAAACAACCTGTGATTTTTCCCTCATATACAGCATTTTTGTATAAAAACTGTGATAGACGTCTCTAGTGGTTCATTTGGAAGTAGAAAAAGTTTACTAGTTTACAGGATGGCCTGGTTACTGTTGTAATTGTTTTCAAAATGAGAAATTATGCAGCGTTAAAGTTGTGATCACTTTATTACATTTTGATTGTATCCTTTTAAGGAGTTTCTAGCAAAGAGCCACTTTTTAAAACTCAACCTTTTGGTAAAAAACTATTAAGAAATATTTTACAAACCCTTTTATAAATGTTATTGATTTGGTATTCTGTATTATTGTTGTGTCAATGAAAGTATTATCATTTGTATCTATTATGCTAAAACATTTTGTTTTCATTATGCCAAAAAAGTATTATACAAAATGAGATGTTTGAAAGTTGTGGATGACTAGTAAGATCTGAGAATATCTGGGTGGCTATTCCTGTCAAAATCAGCTGTGGTGGTTGACTTTTTCATATATTTTGTATGTAAGAGCCAAACATGATGTAGTAAGAAAAATTGTCATCTGTTTGGGCTTATTTGTATTGATTATAAAAGCAGCATTAGTTTACCTAGGCAATTGTGAACACTTTGCAGCAGTGTGAGAATTACTTCTATTGTGATCAGTTCACCCTCTGTTTTTAACTACAACCTAGTCATGGTTTTTGTTTCTGTTTTCAGTTTTTGTTGATTCAATCATTTAAGTCACAACTTTCAGATATGCTCATTGGAGCATTTTAATTAGCTATGATCTAAAGCAGTATGAATCGATGATTACTTACTTGTTTAATAAATATGTTTGTGGAGCAACAGAGGTAATTATGTTACAGGTTTTTGAAATGTTACAAGTATTGTGCTATAACTGGATATTCTTATTAGTCATCTGGGACATTCCATAAACACAAGTTGTATTCTATAAAACATTCAACAACTTTGAAGTACTTGTATGGCATTCACAGTAATCCAAAGTGTGTTAAAATAAATTGTGCATGATTATCTAGTCCATAATTTAGATTTTATTAACTAGACATTCCAAGGTATATTTTACCTAACATTGCTAATCCTATATTTAGAATTTGTCTGCTGTGGGTTTTTTCAATGTTATCTAGTCTTAAGGAATTGCAGAACTGGTTTCTTATTTCTGAAAAATGTTTGATAAAATAAGGAAAACACCTTTTGTGGAGCTCTACTTAATATGTAAGTGTTAGTGGTGAATATTTAGTTAAAAAAATATATAATTGTATGGCATATAATTACCTGTATAACGACTAAAAATATTCTCGCCATATTTGAAATTGTTTTCTTCACCTGTTGTTTTCATCCATTGAAAAGATCTCTAAACATTTTTTATGTCCATCAAGCCAGTCACGACATTTTTTTTATGATTTCAATTTGTTCTTTGTTATATTTCTTTTTTAATTTATCATTTTAAAATATGTATGTTATTTTATTCCATTTTATTTTTAACACTGTTACTGCATGTTAATTTAAATGACATAATTTTTTTTTTAAAGAATTATACCATGCGAAAGCTTTTTGTTAAGCTTGTGCTGCTAACAATACTGGTAGACTTCTTACACATTATTTGAGAAGATTACTTGTTCAACTGTCTCAAATACTAAGGAAACCTCAAAGTGATATTTTTACTTTATCAAGATGCTCAAGAAATTATTTAAATTATTAGAAAAATATACACATATAAAACCACATACAAACTTGGTTTTTTATGAAGATGGTTTAAGATATTTTTGTACAGAATTTGAAAAAAAAACTGAGCTTTTTGGAAACAAACCAATGTTCCTTGGACATTTTATTTTTTCTAAACAGGTGTGTGTCAGATAATTTGTGTGTGAAATTTAGATGTTGCATAATACTAATCCTTATACAAGTTTGTAGCGGAAACAGTATTAATTATTAACAATTTGTTTTCAAAAGCCTCCTTTTCAAGGCATGATGCATATTTACAGTGCTCTGTTAATTGACTAAATGGAATGAGGTTTAAAAATACAGTGTTTTAAAAAAACCATTACATTTTAGATTATATTTATGTTGTTTCAATTGATGTAGCAGAATTGTATTGACGTTATCAATAAAATGTTGAAATTTGCACCTATATAGTTGAGATTTGCTTTCTGGGTCAAGCAGTTTGGCTTCCATCTGGAATACTCCCTAGATGCCCTTTAACATTGTTTGTGACGTTACTCAAAGAATGTGGTTGTAAAAATATAACTTAACAAAATTTGACAAGCCAGAAATAACTTGTTTGTTTTTTGTCATCTGCACACAAAATATGTAAGCTAACATAATGTAACTAGTACCTAGGTCATGTCTTCAAAAAAGATGAGTTAATTTTAAATATTACCTGGAAAAGATTTGAGTGAAAAGTGGGACTGCAGAGATGTATTCCACTACTTCCGGTCCCCGGAAATCGCTCAAAATTAGACAGAAAACAGATAATTAGATAGTTTACTTATATGTGAAATTTCGTCTATCGGAACAAGTACTCAAGTTATAGGCTTTTGAAAAAACGGAAATAGTATAAGTTCCACTTCCGGTCACCGGAAATTTCTGAAGAATAGGGGGTCGGCGTGCTCGAGTCAATATAGCTCATGGTTGTTAAACCGAAAAGTCTCGAGTTCGAACTCACTGGCAAATGAGGCTCGATAGCTGGGGACAGCAACTCTTCTAGGAGAGACAACTCCAAAATCAAACAACTGATGCCTTGTAGTTTGTTCTTGGTTGGACAAATGATATTGAAGAGACTCCAAAAAGAAAAGCAGGCTGAAATCAGAGTCAACGGTTTAAATAACCAGTTGTGACATATACTTTACTGTCAGTGGCGTTGCTAGGTCGGGTGTCACCCGGTGCGGTACTTAGTGGTGTCCCCGTCCCCCCCCCCCCCCGAAACATATATATATATATATATATATATATATATATATGTATATATATACTCTAAGATATATATATATATATATATATATACATCTATACTCTAATGTATATATATATATATATATAAATAAATATATATATATATATATATATATATATATATATATATATATATATATATATATATATATATATATATATAGCTGTGTGTGTGTCGGCATACATAGGCCTATAATTTTAATATATGCCACATACGGATACATGTATGTGTGTAAGCTTTAATCACTGCAGACTTAATAGTAATAGTTTATCTATAGTCTGTACATTTTGCAATTTTTTGCCTTGTTGTCACCCCTAAAATGTGTCACCCGGTGCGGTCCGCACCCCCCCCCCCCCCCGCCCCGCCCTCGCTACGCCTCTGTTTATTTTGTTGGAGGGAATCCTTTCCTACACTAAAATTAATAATGAAGAGGAAGCTGGAGAATAAGTTCCACTTCCGGTTGCCGTAAATCGATAACATGTTGATACAGAACTAAAAGTTTTATATAATACTTGTACACAAAATAGCAAAGCTAAGTTTTACCGACTCTGTGAGGTAGGCCCTATAAAACGTTGAGATTTGTGAAAAAACTCGAATTCGATTTTTTACGATTACAATACTTTCGATATACTACGTATACGAGAAAGTAAAACAGAAGAAAAATTTAGATTATTTTTATTATAAAAGTGTGTCAAATCTTGTGGCGCAATGAAAGTGCAGGCAGCGAAACATAAAAGTGGTACAGCGCCTGCGCCTCTTAAAACAAGCGTACTTGTGATGTAAAGAACAGCAGACATCGAAGGGTAGTATTTTTCTCTCTTTTATGACGGGGTTGTTTCATGTGATGTGGTTCACTTCAGTAAGGGCTTTGTTTCATATGTGAAGTCTAACTAGATATGTTTCTCTTTAGTAATAGCCAAACCTTCCGAAACCTGGGGATAAAATCAAATTGTAGCAATGTATTCAACTCAGATGGCTTCATCTCATGTTAGATTAGTTTTAAGACAGCTGCTCAATATATTTATTTTACATAATATTGTACAGTAAACTGAATGTAATTGATACTTTATGGGGGAGGGGGTAGATTAACATGGCTTTTTTTTAGACTTACCTCCATAAAGACCACCAAGACCTCCTAAACCACCATACAGACCACCGAAGAGGCCACCACCTAGAAGACCACCTCCATATAGACCACCACCATAAAGGCCACCGAGTCCATAGAGGCCACCGCCGTACAGGCCACCAAATCCGTAGGCGAAGGCTTCAGCATTCATGGTGATAGCGGCAAGGAGAAGCACGGCAAGGACTAGTTTGTACATGATCTGTGAAGGCAAGGTCTAGTTTGTACATGATCTGTGGGGGCAAGGTCTAGTTTGTACATGATCTGTGGGGGCAAGGTCTAGTTTGTACATGACCTGTAAGGTCTAGTTTGTATATGACCTGTAAAGGCAAGGTCTAGTTTGTATATGACCTGTAAAGGCAAGGTCTAGTTTGTATATGACCTGTAAAGGCAAGGTCTAGTTTGTACATGATCTCTGGAGGCAAGGACTAGTTTGTACATAATATGTGGAGGTAAGGTCTAGTTTGTACATGATCTATGGAGGCAAGGACTAGTTTGTACATGATCTCTGGAGGCAAGGACTAGTTTGTACATAATATGTGGAGGTAAGGTCTAGTTTGTACATGATCTATGGAGGCAAGGACTAGTTTGTATATGACCTGTAAAGGCAAGGTCTAGTTTGTACATGATCTCTGGAGGCAAGGACTAGTTTGTACATAATATGTGGAGGTAAGGTCTAGTTTGTACATGATTTATGGAGGCAAGGACTAGTTAGTACATGATCTATGGAGGCAAGGACTAGTTAGTACATGATCTATGGAGGCAAGGTCTAGTTTGTACATGATCTCTGGAGGCAAGGTCTAGTTTATACATCATCTGTGGAGGCAAGGTCTAGTTTGTACATGATCTGTGGAGGCAAGGTCTAGTTTGTACATGATCTCTGGAGGCAAGGTCTAGTTTGTACATGATCTATGGAGGCAAGGTCTAGTTTGTACATGATCTGTGGAGGCAAGGACTAGTTTGTACATGATCTGTGGAGGCAAGGTCTAGTTTGTACATGATCTCTGGAGGCAAGGTCTAGTTTGTACATGATCTATGGAGGCAAGGACTAGTTTGTACATGATCTGTGAAGGCAAGGACTAGTTTGTACATGATCTGTGGAGGCAAGGTCTAGTTTGTACATGATCTCTGGAGGCAAGGTCTAGTTTGTACATGATCTATGGAGGCAAGGACTAGTTTGTACATGATCTGTGAAGGCAAGGACTAGTTTGTACATGATCTGTGGAGGCAAGGTCTAGTTTGTACATGATCTCTGGAGGCAAGGTCTAGTTTGTACATGATCTGTGGAGGCAAGGTCTAGTTTGTACATGATCTCTGGAGGCAAGGTCTAGTTTGTACATGATCTGTGGGTGGAGAGAAGCATTTGAGCTTTCATGTAAGGTCTGAACACAATACTTTATAGTGTCAATTGCTTGGCAGATCTGTCACGGAGTCAATCTTTTCAAATGGATATTAACAGTGTTTCTTCCATTTTTTTAAATCTCCGGATGGGGGACACTTGATATTTTCGGAAAGGGGGGGGGGGCATTCTCCGGTTGGGGGGGGGGGGGGGAGGAGGCGGACACTGGTAGAAGTATATGTTTTCAAAATAAAATCAATTTCGTTCGGGGAGGTGGGATATCTGGAAGAAACTGAATACTAACTATATTTAAAAAATGCAAATTACAATATTCTATGCAATTATATCTGCTAAAATCAGTTTATTTGAATTTATTATTGAACACATTATTAAATAAAAATGCATTCAACAATTCAAGGACTTTTGGACTATATAAACTAAGTGTAAAAATAATGAAATTTGAAGATATAAAGAATGTAATTATTATTAAACTTAATTTTTAAAATGTGTAAACTGCTTACGGAGTTGTCTGCGCTTGACGAGACCGTCCTACCAACCAAAATTCGTGAGTTGCGTCTGCTGATGGTGAAACGAGGCTGGAGAGCCCCTTATATATCCTGCCCTGCATCACCCCCTCACCCTGCCTGAAGGGAAGACATTCAATCTGGTCATGTTTTTGGTCATGTTTTCTCCATTAACACGTGAAAAATATCTCCGAGGCGTGTGGTTTCTCCTGATCAATTTGTCGTCTGACGCTCTAACCGGACGTGGACTCACGATTTGACCTCAGGGCATCTCCCCCCCCCCCCTTCCAGTTAGTTGAGGTGGGTGTGTTGCCAGTTCAGGTGACCGTACTCTTTTTTTACTTTGGTTGGTTATGTTTTTTCTTAAAACGGTTTGCTTGAACCTATAAGAATACTCAACTGACTGTTGGTGACTGAGAATCATTTCATTGGCAAGATCTAGTAATAGGGGCTAGGGTTACAGTATGGGTAAGGTAGGGAGAGGCAGGGGTAAGGTAGGGTAAAGGTAGGGGTAAGGTAGGAAGTTGTATGGGTAGGGTATGGGTGAGGTAGGGAGTGGGATTAAAAGACACAAGTTTGTTTATTATTTTTTAAAACCTTTTTAGCAAATCGTTGCTCTTATGTCTGAATGAGATGCGACGCATACATCAATACAACACATTGAACAACACATATATTCATACAACTTATTGAACAACACATATAATCATATATATATATTCATACTACACATTGAACAGCACATACATTCATACAACATATTGAAGAATACATATATTCATATAACACATTGAGCAACACATACATTCATACAACATATTGGACAACACATATATTCAAACAACATATTGAACAACACATATATTCAAACAACATATTGAACAACACATATATTTATACAACATATTGAACAACACATATATTTATACAACATATTGAACAACACAAATATTCAAACAACATATTGAACAACACATATTTATACAACATATTGAACAACACACACATACATTCATACAACATATTGAACAACACATACATTCAAACAACATATTGAACAACACATATTTATACAACATATTGAACAGCACATACATTCAAACAACATATTGAACAACACATACATTCATACAACACATTGAACACATATATTCATACAACATATTGAACAACACATATTTATACAACATATTGAACAACACATATTTATACAACATATTGAACAACACATATTTATACAACATATTGAACAACACACACATACATTCATACAACATATTGAACAACACATATATTCATACAACACATTGAACAACACATACATTCAAACAACACATTGAACACATATATTCATACAACACATTGAACACATACATTCATACAACATATTGAACAACACATATATTCATACAACATATTGAACAACACATATATTCATACAACATATTGAACAGCACATACATTCATACAACACATTTGAGTAACACAAAGACGTTTTCTGTGTCACCACTATAGTTGACGGCCCGTACCTCCACAGAGGTAGTGGACGGTGAATGGATGAATGAGTGGACAGTGAATGAATGAATGAGTGGACAGTGAATGAATGAATGAGTGGACAGTGAATGAATGAATGAGTGGACAGTGAATGGAGGAATGAGTGGACAGTGAATGGATGAATGAGCGGACAGTGAATGAATGAATGAGTGGACAGTGAGTGGATGAATGAGTGGACAGTGAATGGATGAATGAGTGGACAGTGAATGAATGAATGAGTGGACAGTGAATGGATGAATGAGTGGACAGTGAATGAATGAATGAGTGAACAGTGAATGGAGGAATGAGTGGACAGTGAATGGATGAATGAGTGGACAGTGAATGAATGAATGAGTGGACAGTGAATGGAGGAATTAGTGGACAGTGAATGGATGAATGAGTGGACAGTGAATGGATGAATTAGTGGACAGTGAATGGATGAATGAGTGGACAGTGAATGGATGAATGAGTGGACAGTGAATGGATGAATGAGTGGACAGTGAATGGATGAATTAGTGGACAGTGAGTGGATGAATGAGTGGACAGTGAGTGGATGAATGAGTGGACAGTGAATAAATGAATGAATAAGTGGACAGTGAATAAATGAATGAATGAGTGGACAGTGAATGGATGAAAGAGTGGACAGTGAATGGATGAATGAGTGGACAGTGAATGGATGAATGAGTGGACAGTGAATGGATGAATGAGTGGACAGTGAATGGATGAATGAGTGGACAGTGAATTGATGAATGAGTGGACAGTGAATGAATGAATGAGTGGACAGTGAATGGATGAATGAGTGGACAGTGAATTAATGAATGAGTGGACAGTGAATGGATGAATGAGTGGACAGTGAATGGATGAATGAGTGGACAATGAATGGATGAATGAGTGGACAGTGAATGGATGAATGAGTGGACAGTGAATTGATGAATGAGTGGACAGTGAATGAATGAATGAGTGGACAGTGAATGGATGAATGAGTGGACAGTGAATTGATGAATGAGTGGACAGTGAATGGATGAATGAGTGGACAGTGAATGGATGAATGAGTGAACAGTGAATGGATGAATGAGTGAACAGTGAATGGATGAATGAGTGGACAGTGAATGGATGAATGAGTGGACAGTGAATTGATGAATGAGTGGACAGTGAATGAATGAATGAGTGGACAGTGAATGGATGAATGAGTGGACAGTGAATTGATGAATGAGTGGACAGTGAATGGATGAATGAGTGGACAGTGAATGGATGAATGAGTGGACAGTGAATGGATAAATGAGTGGACAGTGAATGGATGAATGAGTGGACAGTGAATGGATGAATGAGTGGACAGTGAATGGATGAATTAGTGGACAGTGAGTGGATGAATGAGTGGACAGTGAGTGGATGAATGAGTGGACAGTGAATAAATGAATGAATGAGTGGACAGTGAATAAATGAATGAATGAGTGGACAGTGAATGGATGAAAGAGTGGACAGTGAATGGATGAAGGAGTGGACAGTGAATGGATGAATGAGTGGACAGTGAATGGATCAATGAGTGGACAGTGAAAGGATGAATGAGTGGACAGTGAATTGATGAATGAGTGGACAGTGAATGAATGAATGAGTGGACAGAGAATGGATGAATGAGTGGACAGTGAATTGATGAATGAGTGGACAGTGAATGGATGAATGAGTGGACAGTGAATGGATGAATGAGTGGACAATGAATGGATGAATGAGTGGACAGTGAATGGATGAATGAGTGGACAGTGAATTGATGAATGAGTGGACAGTGAATGAATGAATGAGTGGACAGTGAATGGATGAATGAGTGGACAGTGAATTGATGAATGAGTGGACAGTGAATGGATGAATGAGTGGACAGTGAATGGATGAATGAGTGGACAGTGAATGGATGAATGAGTGAACAGTGAATGGATGAATGAGTGGACAGTGAATGGATGAATGAGTGGACAGTGAATTGATGAATGAGTGGACAGTGAATGAATGAATGAGTGGACAGTGAATGGATGAATGAGTGGACAGTGAATTGATGAATGAGTGGACAGTGAATGGATGAATGAGTGGACAGTGAATGGATGAATGAGTGGACAGTGAATGGATGAATGAGTGGACAGTGAATTGATGAATGAGTGAACAGTGAATGGAGGAATGAGTGGACAGTGAATGGAGGAATGAGTGGACAGTGAATTGATGAATGAGTGGACAGTGAATGAATGAATGAGTGGACAGTGAATGGATGAATGAGTGGACAGTGAATTGATGAATGAGTGGACAGTGAATGGATGAATGAGTGGACAGTGAATTGATGAATGAGTGAACAGTGAATGGAGGAATGAGTGGACAGTGAATGAATGAATGAGTGGACAGTGAATGGATGAATGAGTGGACAATGAATGGATGAATGAGTGGACAGTGAATGGATGAATGAGTGGACAGTGAATTGATGAATGAGTGGACAGTGAATTGATGAATGAGTGGACAGTGAATGAATGAATGAGTGGACAGTGAATGGATGAATGAGTGGACAATGAATGGATGAATGAGTGGACAGTGAATGGATGAATGAGTGGACAGTGAATGGATGAATGAGTGGACAGTGAATTGATGAATGAGTGGACAGTGAATGAATGAATGAGTGGACAGTGAATGGATGAATGAGTGGACAGTGAATTGATGAATGAGTGGACAGTGAATGGATGAATGAGTGGACAGTGAATGGATGAATGAGTGAACAGTGAATGGATGAATGAGTGGACAGTGAATGGATGAATGAGTGGACAGTGAATGAATGAATGAGTGAACAGTGAATGGATGAATGAGTGGACAGTGAATGGATGAATGAGTGGACAGTGAATGGATGAATGAGTGGACAGTGAATGGATGAATGAGTGAACAGTGAATGGATGAATGAGTGGACAGTGAATGGATGCTAAAACGTCACAATTGAAATTGTTGACCACCAGAGTGATTATGAGAGTTGTACTTTAACATCGTATAACTCTCTGTAAATCCAACTTAACTAGTAAATTCACTCGTCTTGGTGAACAATTACTAGATCTGGCAATATATATGTATATTCAAGCGGGATGGTGGTATTTTTAACACCCCCCACACCTAACCTATAGACTACGACGTTTTACATGATTAAAGAATGCATATATCACGTGACGTCGGTGACGTAAATTAGTGACAGGTAGATCACACTCAGTAGTGGTAGTAAAATTGTTGATGTGTTCTAGGGGTCAAGTGATGGTGTTTAATTTGTAGTGACAAGTTCAAGTACTTTGTGTGCTCATTGTGTGTATGTGTGTGTGGGGGGGGGTGCGGGGTGGGGTGGGGGCAGGAGGTTATCAAGGAAAAAATATTTAGCACAATGGCCGTAGCGTCAATGACTGGTACCGGCCCACCCCACATGTAGCCGCTAAGATGGTAGAAGATGAAGTGACTGGACTAAAGCGTCCCTACCCTACACGTCATAAGACTAGGTCTCCGCCTTGATGCCCGCAGTCCGAGGTCGAGACCCGTTAACACTACGTTGAACCCTAGGTTCAGGTGTTTACGGTTAC